ACGAAGAGAGCAATTCATCATGTATCATATCCATAAAGTGTTTTAAAAAGTGAAGAGGGGATTGGATCTAAAAGACATGTGGTGGGTCTCACTGTGGAGAAAACTTTCTTAACCCTTGTGTGGTGTTTGTATTTTTGTTACTCAGCCAGTGTTCATGGGTCTGGTGGACCCGCTAGAGTTTTGGCTTTCCAAATTAACACTATCAAACAATTTTATGTTAAATTACTCAACAGATGTTTACTTCATCCCAATTACAAGACATATGAACAGCAAACATGGTTAATTTTTTCCCTTTACCTTTGTTAGATCACATTTATGAATTAATGTGCTTCTTGTTTTTCTTTTATATAAAATGTTATAAATAAATCAGTTATAATCAAGTGGAGTGAGTGGAAAGACCCAACACATTTACACGTGAAAAAATAATTAATTGTTTAATTTTTCTTTTGAAAAAAACTGAACACGGGTCTCACAGACCCGAACACCATACAAGGGTTAAGGTTCTCAGCATTAACCAGGACAAAGCTGTCCAGTGTCTCCTCAGGTACAATCGAGCCCTCAGATGTGTTTAAAATCATATCGCGAGAAGATAAAATATCAGATCTTATGGCGCTGATCTTTCCCCTGAAGTGGTCTGCAAACTGCTCACAGAGCGAGTCTGTGGGGGTTCTTTGGGAGCTGTTAAAATCAGGGTTAAATAAACGATATATGGTGGAAAAGAGGACCTTGGGATTATTTTTGTTATTACTGATTATTTTGGCGAAGTATGAATTTCTTGAATTCCTTAATGTATTATTGTACATTGTTGCTCGCAAAGTATTTCATGGTTGATTGCATTTTTATTTTTCCTCAATCTCCTTTCTGCGGCCCTGCAATTTCTTTTGAGTTTTTTGACTCCTTTGTTTCTCCAGGGTGATGCATGTTTTACGTTAATCTTTTTAGTGGTGAATTGAGCAACGGAGTCAAGGCTTTTCTTCAGTTGGCTGTTAAAATGATTAAAAATTAAATCATAGGGTGCAGGTAAAATCACAGGGGGGCATTCGTCTAAAACCTTGGTAAAATTTGCAGCCACTTCAGAGGTTAGATAGCGAAAGTGGTAAAATGGTCAAATAAAATTTGTTTGGTGGTGAGTGTGTTGTTGGTTAAAGATGCAGTCCCACCACCTCTCTTACCACTTCTAATAGAAAAAGAGAAATTAAAATTTGGTGGGAGGCCTTAGTGAGAACAACTTGTGCATCTGAACCCAGCCATGTTTCAGTTAAAAATAAACAATCAAGTTTATTATCTAAAATTAAATCATTAATAATAAAAGACTTGTTCAACAGAGAGCGGATATTTAAAAGTGCCATACTGATTGAGACTGGTGGATTTTTGACAGTAGAGTTCAATGGATGTTGACATTTTTGAAGGGGTCGGAGGTTATTAATGTTTTTGGAGTTACTGGATCAGAGTTCATATCAGGGGTAAAGACCAGACTAAACAGAGTTTTGTGTATTACTGTTAAAAGTGGAACAAATATAGATGCTGGGACCAGAGGGACATCAGTCAGTGGCGGACAGATCAGCAGGTAATGTCGGTTTGGTCTAATGTTTATAAGCTAAACTGTAAGCCATCTTTGAAAACAGCTGTGACCAGCAAAGCTTTGGACTCTTTCACATGCTCGAGTTACATTGGAAGGATTTAGTGGGGTTTGCCATTTTGAATTCTTTCCTGAACTAAAACCTTAACAGAATAAGGAGTAAGAATAAACAGTACTGCACTTCGAACTCTTTGCCGTGTACATCTAATTAGCTTACAGCCTTAAATAGGAGCCACTTGTCACTTCCAAATCATTATTCAGCTAAGTCCATTGTGAGATCAGAGGTTATATTAAAAAAAGGCCTGTTGGTCCTGGATGCAATCGAGGTCATGGTATGATTAGTTCCTCTCTCCTGCTCTTTATTGGATTTGGCTAAGTTTACAGCTCCAACCAACATAATCAGGGATAACAATACACTTGGCAAACTCATTTATTTATCATCCCAGAGTGCTGCCTTCAAGTAATCAGGGTGTCTACAGGTATAAGCAAGCAATGTAAGACTTTTTAATGCCACTTTAAATGAAATTTAAGACCAAAAGGGCAGTTCGATCGTTAAGCGTTTCCAGGCACCCGCTTTAACCACCAAGAGTAATTGCGGATTTCCAGCTATTTCCCGTTAAACTTGATCTTTCCATTTTTGTAGGCTAATGAACAGGCTGCCTAAGAAAGCATTCGTCTTTATCAAGAGGATGCTTTTTGCCTCAGATCTGTTCTCTCACAATGCCCCACCCTGTATCTAGTGTGTATTTAAGTGTGTACAAAGCCACTTTTGTCAGTTGGAGGAGGAGATTTGAGCCCACTAGTGAAGCTCGTGTTGCCCTTAATGCCTCAATAAAGGCCTTATTTGTTTCTCTCTTTTTACTCATGAGTTGAATTTTCCTGACCTTTTATTGTCTGGACTTATTTAACAATTTTAAACGGCGTACATAAATCAATTCGAGCAGCCTTTGTGTATGAGATGCACCATTTTAGCTGGCTCATGCCTCTGCTGCTGCGCCACGTTTCACCCAAGCCTTTCTTACAATCAAAACACAAATACATCTTCAATCTATTCTCCTCTTAATCAGCATCTCCATTCATACGTGAGGTGAATAAATGAATAAAATCTACACGTCTCCGTACAGCAGATTGTGCAGTCGTATCTTGGCTTGCCATTTTGTCTTTTTATTTCAAGCCCTGAGGATCTTTTGTTATCTCGCCCACACAGATTATTGATTGCACCTTTTTTTTTTTTTTTTTTACTATTATTTTATCTCTCTCACTGTATGTGTGAGTGTGTTCAAATAATTTTTACTTCTAGGTTTCTTTGCTGTACAAATGGAATCAATTGAATTGTAGGGGTCACAGCTTTCATTTAGATTCTCCTCTCTGTCTATTTCACTGGAAGAGCAGGTGGTCCAAATATTTTGTGCGTTCCACATGAACCAGTTCCTGACGGCTGTGCCTCTGGCTTGGCCGGACACTTCAACATACTAGCAGGGCTTTGCTCTGGGGAGGACTGTGAGCGATCGCCCTTTGACTGTTGTTCTAACGATAACCTCAGCGTGTTTTACTCTTCTCGTGTGCTGCGAGAGGTGAAAAGAAGCAGCTGTGACTTACAGCTGGAGATAGATACCTTGTGAAATTGGAGAAAATGATAGAAACTATGAAGTGAATCGAAAACCCACACATATGCAGAGTACAGCTGTCATGATTTGAAAAAGCAGAGAAGACAAGAGTGCTCTCTAAGCTGATGCAGGCGATGAAGTAGAGAACCCAAAAGTAAATGAAACTCCCATAAAAAAACACAGTTAGACAAAGCTTTGGTCATAATGTAGTCCATTTATTCTGACTTGAGCTATGCTGCTGCTTCTCATTTTAGAGGTCATGATAGATAGTGAGCTCTGTTAGAGTTTCGAGGTAATGCTGAGACCAAACCCACACGCAAAAGACCAACTTTCAGCACCTCAAATAACAACTGCCAAACACATTTAGGCATTTCAATTCACTTGGCTTTTAAACGTTACAACAAAGCTTGTTTTAATGTGTATTTAAATGCTCATAATGGCTTCCCTGTAGTATACATCAGACTGCTGAGAAGTGTCGACTGTGCTGTGTATGGAGAGTGACTTGTTGAAGCTGAGAGCAGCGACACAAAACAGTTTCAGTGTCCACATGCGCCACTTTTAAACACTCTGTGCACCGTCTTACAAGCACAGCATTTTAAAATGCTGATGTCATAATTCCCACCCCTTCTTGACTCTGATTGGTTTGTGAGGAAGAAGTGACGTTACATAAATTGTAAAAGCTGAACGATGAGGGTGTTTTTACACTCGGAGCAATAAGCATTGATCACATTGAGCTTCATAGGATTTGCATAGAAAACTGCTCTGTGGATTAAAGCCTTAAATCACTGCTTTAATAGACAGGTAATGAAGACAGATAATTAGTAAACACTAGTCTCAAACACCTTCTACAGATATGATGATGTATGAGCATGTATTTACCTGAACGCTAGATTAACTGACACATCTGTATCAGCATCTTCAGCGCATGACAACCGATCCAAGTACTCAAGTGATGTTGATGTTAGCAACTATTGCTATTTCTAACTTTGTCTCCTGCTAGCAGCATCTGGGGTTGAAGTGCTGAAAACTGCAGCTCCTCTGGTGGCCACTTGAGGCTGACGCCAAAAGTGTAGAGTCCCCGTAGGCTCCTATGTCAAAATGCCCAATTTCACAGATATGAAATTAACATGTTCACAGCACAGCACACCCCTTCATATCAACTGTCCAGGTAAAGTTTGGCCTCTAACTGACAGATGTGTTATTGCTGTCTGCTCGGTCTCACAGCTAGACTAATTCCAGTCATTGAACTGGACCTCCTGTTTGCAGTGTTAGTGCTTTTGGGAGTTATTTTAATGAAACTATCTGAAAAATATTGCAGATTGCTGTGCGGTATAGCCCTTCCAGCACTAATTAGCACTGATAACCGTCTGGTTTAAAGTTGATTACTCCTGGATCCAAAAGAACAACCTAGCAACAATCTAAATGCTAATAAAAAATAAACCCAAAAATCAAGGGGCTCTTTTACATAAAGTCTATAGACTCCTTGTGGGTACTTCATGCCTGATCAGTTTTACTGACAGAGACTGAGGTTAATAGTATCCAGCATGTTGCTGCCATAGCTTACTATTACTTTGTGTGGCAAAAAGCTGATTTGGAGGAGCTATTTCAGTCACAGAATATTAAAGAAAATTAAAGTAAAGTAAAGTAAGAGTAAAGTCATAATTGATTAAATTTTTTTCATTAGAGAACTTTTTTTTAATAACAGTGGACTGTGCTTCTAATTGCTTCTATTCAGTGTTTGGACTTTCCAAGGTTGCTCATGCAGCCCAAACAACAAATAATTACCACTGAAACCTTGAAGTCAGCATTATTACCTGGACATGGGAGGACACAGCTCTCTTTCAGTCTGATCTGCTTGTCTCCATCGACAGCCACCTCCAGGCTGCTGCACAGCTCCTCGTCCACCAGGCTGCCCTCGCCATCGCTGGAGCCGTCCGACACGAAGCAGGACAGGTTCCTGAAGCGCATGCCGTGTCCACAAACCACATTCTGACAGGACATAAACACCACAGAAGAAGACAGAAGGTGATGAGTTAACACAGTGAGGGAAGGGGGTGTCACACAAACCTGCAGCAATCTGATGGCAGTTTAATAATCCTAGTAAATTCAACTTCTGCCATTTGAATTGATGGAAAGATCAACTAAAGTCAAACAAATACAAAAAGTGTTTATGCGTCTCAAACATTTTAAGAGAAGAGTAAAAAGCATCGCTGAGCTGAGCTGTAGGATGAAAAGCTGCAGGCATTAAGCTGCACACCTCCAGCTTCTCAGCAAGGCAGCATACCTGACCTGGAAATGTATTGTTGCTTAGAACAGAATATGTTCTATATATTTGCAATATGTACAGCGGTTTGTATTTTTACAGAAACAAAAGAGCACAAATACAAACATGGATGAGTTAAACCTCTACTTTTTAAGCTGTCATTCGTCTGGAAATTGTGTGAACTGTAACAAATGATTAAAGGGGACCATTTTCCACACTCGGATAAAGGCAGAAAATTAAGGTCAGGGATAGCATCTCATGCAGGACTGCACATGTAGACCACTTGTTAAAGTGCCCTTGTGGATTTTATTATGTGGGTAAGACTGGTAGGGCGTTGAAAACACAAAAGCAGTATTGGAAATAACCTTCTATTGGCAGGCGGGCAGTACAGAGTGTCTGCTGTTCTTGTTTTGACGTTATTGGGACACTAAAGAGTGGAAGGGATGGAGAAAAAATCCTGGTGGATTAAATGAAGAATTGTTATTGTCCTGTTTTGTTTTATGAGTAGAGATCTATTAAAATGTATTTTAATAGATAAAAGTATAAGGAAGATAAGCTTCCCCATATATTTTCAGTCTCTTTCCCGTGTGGGAGTTAAATTGTCCTTTATATTTGTTCATGAAAGAACAAAATATCTCACAGGATCATTCTATCTGATACATTTTCTGCTAATATTTGCATTTGCTTAGTTAGGTAATATCATTTGGGAGTCCTCCAGGCTGGGTCCTGATTGGAGTTTGATAAGAGGTTACCACCCACAGGATGGTTTGCCTTTTTCTGAAGTGAATGCAGAGTGCATTTAATAAAATGTCGACTGTCTCTGCCTCTCACTCTCACACAGCTGAGGAAGGCAGAGGTTATAAGCACTTCCTTTTTGATCAACTTAAGTGAGGGGCAGCAAAGGATGTTAGTAACAGATGACATTACCTGTCTCTGTGTGTCCCCATAAAACCACATTTACTCTTGAAAAGTTTTGCTTTATGTCATAAAGTATTGCACTGGATGCTTTTAATAATCTGACCCGGTGCCACACGATGCAAAATTGAGTGTACAGGCTGCCAAATTTCTTGGCAAAGGTATTGGTTTACAGTAATGCATCAGCATTAAAGATGCATTAGATTGATTTTTTTTTTTTACTGTCCATCTCTCAAAATAACCGTATGAGTGGGGAAATGATGAGCTTGTTCATCAATACTAAAGACTCCATTATTTTTTATCAGGTTCTTAGACTTCACCCTCCTGAAATCCACCTTCTGGCTCAAACTGTTTTAGAGTATTGATCTCAGCTGTGCCTGAGCTCCATTTCTTGTAGCTGACAGAGGTCGATACAATTATTAATGTTTAATGTACCTGGATTATGGTATAACTTTTATATGTATTGACATACCTCTACCCGACACTCAGACCAGGGGCTGTACTGCCAACGGTAGCAGGGTCGGACAGGACAGGGTTTCCACTGCTCCATCTGAGAAGGGCACGGTCGGCCATCGCCCTGAGAAGCCTGAACCACCGACCGCTGTCGCCACATCTTACCTGGAGAGTAAAAAAGAAAAAAAAAAGGTTAAATTTATCTCTGGTTTTCTGTGGATCTCTCATTAGACTTTTATATAAGCAGGATTTTGTTACTTGTTGATCTAGTGGAAATAGGTTAGTGTCGCAGAACTGTCTTTATTGAGTGAATGTCTGTCTTTTTGTTCCGTCATTTTTTCCTAGAGCATCTCCACACCCATAAGCACGTTCAATTCATGATTTTTTTTAAGACTTTCTCCACTTCAAAATGTGTTCCCTACTGTGAAAGGAAACAAGATTATCATTAGCAACTTAAAGAAGTCCAGACGCTTTTCTTTGCAAGCTCCTTTGACTACGATGACCTGGATGACTGAGAACCTTCACAGCCGAGATTATCATTGTTATCCTGAATGGAAAATGAAACCCCTATGGCATACAGTGCAGTTTTTCCTTCTAAAGATGTCCAAGTAATGAGCTTAAATCACCAGGAGTAACGATATTGTTCCAGCCATTTGGTGTTAATGTTGTGCGCTGACGTTATGCAGAGTTTTGCAGACCATTGTCTAAATGTTGCTGCTGTGTACTGTCACCAGGGGGCAGTCCCAAAATTATATGGAACCACCTTTAATGTGGGTTACTCTTGCTTGTGTTTGTGCTGTTGTCGTTCCTTTAGCGCAGAAAACTATTCACTCTTGATTTTTGGAAGACTTGACAAAGTCAGTGCAGTAGCATAATCTTCTCAGTTTTACAACTGTCATGAAGCAATGTTTGTGTTCTGGTTTGCATCACTGAAGGCAGGTATGTTTGACCGTGCGTCCACTAATGGTGCACATTGCAAACACTGCTGTCACATTCTCCTATTTCTCTAAGCAGCCCAGGGCCTACTACACATGCTGCAGTGGTGGGCTAACTGGGGTTGGGGTGGCAGTCAGCCTGATTGGGGCAGGACATCCACTGGACCCTTTCCTTCTGGGAAAAACAAAGTTCCTGTCCCTTTACTGTTTTGCTTGACATTGTTTCCCCCTTGAAATGTTTTCAGCAGCAGACAGTATAGGGAAAGTGAGGCTTATAGGGAACCAATCCAAAGTTTAACAATGTCAATAGTATAAAGACGCTACATTGTGAAGTAAAGATTTACTTCATATGAGCAAAGAAAGTCACTTTTACTTGTTTAAGTAGAACTGAAGTAGAACAACAGGTTCCTGTGTTGAAAACTCTCCACCCCAGCACTGAAATCTGAGCATTTTGTTTTACCAGCATGAGAGAAAATTAATATCAGGAGGGTTTTTTTTTTTCTTCAAAGCCTCTGGAGCTCTTGGTTTCTTGATAAAATAATACAATTAATGCAAAGTTCAAAAAGACTTTTTCCCCCCTGAACAATAAGCTAAACACAGAAACACATGCAGTGACCATTGTGGTGTGCCACACAGCAGTCATCCATTCCTTCTATAAACAGCTCATTTAAATTCATGTGTATGCGTTTGTTTTGAATGTATTAAATTAATCCTACGGCGCACAATAGCACTTCACTTATCAGAGCAGGAGTTTCTAAATGGCATGAAATACTGCACCTTTTTTCCCTTTACCATCTTGATTGGTTCTTGGTCAACTTGAGTAAAAAGGCTTTTATTCCACATCAATCAGAAAAACCTCTTTAAATAAATCCAATTCATCGCAGAACCCCGGAGACCATTTGATTTAAGTGCAGAACTGATGCTATGAATTAACTGAAAGACTCGACATAGAAGCCCTTCACACACGTTTCTAAAAGCAACCTTCCTGTCTACCTGCTTTAAACTGCCCACTCTCAACTCTCACAGCCCTCCATTTGTTGCATATTCCACTTACATTTTCACACTGACAATCCAGCAAAGTGCTCACCTCAAAATCCACCTTTACCAACCTACATTGGCTTTCAACACATAAAACAACCAGCGTTCCCACACATTGACACGCAAACTGTACAATTTCATATCCCACTCCAATAAAAAAAAAAAACTTCCCCCACACATACACAGAAAAAACGCACATCAAATAAGGTCCCCGCCTTTGCCCTTTTTTATTTTTTGTAAAAAAAAACTTTTTTTATCTTATTCCTTTTGATTTACCAACTATTGCTGTAGCGCCCTTTCTTCAAAGGGCTCCCTCGGCCCTGAGGAGCAGGAACATATAATGGGACAGAATCAATTGTGTGAACTCCTGGAACAACAACTAGGCAACAGGACGACAAATTTTCTATGGTCATTTGGAAAGACTATAACACAGTAACTTTGACTTAAATAAAGACTCCCTCTGCTTTGTTTGTGGGAGTTTTTCTAGCTAGCTACATTTGGAAATGTCTGAGATGCGTGTCTCCCAAATACACGCTTTGGTACCATGTGTACATAACATGTATGTAGCCCACAGTAAGAAACAGAAGTAGAAACTTTTTGTAGGAATTAGTAATTTGGTTTTTGTTATTTATTTATCATTAGTTTCTGACCTGGATGGATAATTTAATTTTTAATCAATAGAATTTTTTGTCCCGCCTTTAACTGTTCCCATTTTGGTTACACTGGTAAGGCTGCTTAGTCCCACATCAGCATGCATGTGAAATAACTCTGACCTTGCTCCTAGGTCAGGTTTCTTTTGTAGTTGGAGATTAAAAAAAAAACCCCAAATTAAACAAACTGAGAGTCCACAGACCTTCTGGAAATCCATAGAAGTACGCTGATCTTTTATTACAATGGGTGTCGAGCCACAGCTCATATGGAACTCAATCTAATTCCCTAAATTGTGGTAGGACAGACTGTGCAAAACATCCATCCTTTGTTTGGCTAATTTCACACTAATAAACTGCCCAGATAAGCCAGCAGGCGTGAACTGGATAGCACTGACATTTAAAAGACCCTGGTCTGACTTTATTTTACTTTCTTGGTCTCTGTGCATGCACATCATTTTGATTATTGTTGTTGGTTGTGATACAAAGCACAACATTTTAATACAACCAGAACATTGTTCCATCATTTCTGCAGATGTGTCTTCATTGTGGTTACCCATCCTCCTTTTGCAGTTTGGCATCCTCTAGTATTTTTGTTACACACTGGTTACATATAGTTACACTTGGGGACATTAAACATGGCCAGTTTCAAAGGTCAGTGTTTCTACAAGTACAGTGGGGCAAAAAAGTATTTAGTCAGCCACCGATTGTGCAAGTTCCCCCACTTAAAATGATGACAGAGGTCAGTAATTTGCACCAGAGGTACACTTCAACTGTGAGAGACAGAATGTGAAAAAAAAGTCCATGAATTCACATGGTAGGATTTGTAAAGAATTTATTCGTAAATTAGGGTGGAAAATAAGTATTTGGTCACCTCAAACAAGGAAAATCTCTGGCTCTCACAGACCTGTAACATCTTCTGTAAGACACTTTTCTGTCCTCCACTTGTTACCTGTATGAATGGCACCTGTTTGAACTCATCATCTGTATAAAATACACCTGTCCACAGCCTCAAACAGTCAGACTCCAAACTCCGCCATGGCCAAGACCAAAGAGCTCTCGAAGGACACCAGGAAAAGTATTGTAGACCTGCACCAGACTGGGAAGAGTGAATCTACAATAGGCAAGCAGCTTGGTGTGAAAAAATCAACTGTGGGAGCAATCATCAGAAAATGGAAGACATACAAGACCACTGATAATCTCCCTCGATCTGGGGCTCCACGCAAGATCTCATCCCGTGGGGTCAAAATGATCATGAGAACGGTGAGCAAAGATCCCAGAACCACACGGGGGGACCTGGTGAATGACCTGCAGAGAGCTGGGACCAAAGTAACAAAGGTCACCATCAGTAACACACTACAACGGCAGGGAATCAAATCCCGCAGTGCCAGACGTGTACCGCTGCTGAAGCCAGTGCATGTCCAGGCCCGTCTGAAGTTTGCCAGAGAGCACATGGATGATACAGCAGAGGATTGGGAGAATGTCATGTGGTCAGATGAAACCAAAGTAGAACTTTTTGGTATAAACTCAACTCGTCGTGTTTGGAGGACGAAGAATACTGAGTTGCATCCCAAGAACACCATACCTACTGTGAAGCATGGGGGTGGAAACATCATGCTATGGGGCTGTTTTTCTGCCAAGGGGACAGGACGACTGATCCGTGTTAAGGACAGAATGAATGGGGCCATGTATCGTGAGATTTTGAGCCAAAACCTCCTTCCATCAGTGAGAACTTTGAAGATGAAACGAGGCTGAGTCTTCCAACATGACAATGATCCAAAACACACCGCCCGGGCAACAAAGGAGTGGCTCCGTAAGAAGCATTTGAAAGTCCTGGAGTGGCCTAGCCAGTCTCCAGACCTCAACCCCATAGAAAATCTGTGGCGGGAGTTGAAAGTCCGTGTTGCTCGGCGACAGCCCCAAAACATCACTGCTCTCGAGAAGATCTGCATGGAGGAATGGGCCAAAATACCAGCTACTGTGTGTGCAAACCTGGTAAAGACCTATAGTAAACGTTTGACCTCTGTTATTGCCAACAAAGGTTATGTTACAAAGTATTGAGTTGTATTTTTGTTATTGACCAAATACTTATTTTCCACCCTGATTTACGAATAAATTCTTTACAAATCCTACCATGTGGATTCATGGATTTTTTTTTTTCACATTCTGTCTCTCACAGTTGAAGTGTACCTCTGGTGCAAATTACTGACCTCTGTCATCATTTTAGGTGGGGGATCTTGCACAACCGGTGGCTGACTAAATACTTTTTTGCCCCACTGTAATTCCCTGTTTCAGACAGTTTATTCCTCCTGACTCTGTACATCAGTGAGCATACATTTCCTTCACATGGTCATCTCATAAACACTTCTTCTCTTCTGTTTGTGGGAGCCAGTAAATCATAAGAAAGGGAGGAGGAGAAGCTTAAATGGCTTGTTTCAGATGACGTGTGAGGGCCTAGTATCAGATAAATAAGGAATATCTCAAACTCTGCAAGAAAAAAAAATCCTCTCCTACAGTTACACTTTTTTAAATGCACCACACACATGTACACAATTGACCACACTCCAATATGTGGTCACACCAGCTGTGGGAACAATGAGTTTTTAGACTACACCTATCAATAAACTTGGCCCACGTTTTGATTTCAAATGCACACCTGTAAAGTTTGGTAAAGCTGCCAAGAGTTTACATAAAACTGCATCCTGCACAGACAGACACACAGATGGCTGGGTAGACATAGTACTAAGTACTAAAAACTGCTTGTTTGGCAGTTCTTGCTACAGTAAAGACGGACTAAGGAGGTAAAAACAATAATAGCTCTGTTATCACAGTTGGATCTTGTTTTTTCAACAGATAAATGGTAAATATAGATAAAGCAACAGGAATGTAAGGTGGTTGGAAATGGTCATTATTTTTTATTTGATAGGACAGTGTAGCACAGACAGAAAAGTGAGGGGAGAGAGCATGAGTGACAGACAGCAAATGGGATACATGGTACCTGGGCCACCTGCTCTACCAGGTGAATTACAAGTGTGCGTCAGGAGCCTGTGTTTCACCTGTTTTAGCTTTAGTCGTCTGTTGCAAATTCAAGAATCTATGTTTGGCCATTTGCCATTAAGACTGAAGTGCAACTTTACAATCTGGCATCCTCTTTTATAACACGTCTTAAAACATTTATAGACCATCTTAAACGTATATGTGCTTCATTATTTTGCCTGAACTTATTTATCTCGTTTACTTGTTTATGTTGGCATTTGCCTTTACTCCAGTGTAATCTCATTATTGCACTTGAAAAGAGCAATGGAAGTAAATCAGTAAGATTAATGTGCAATTAATGATGAAAAGGAGGCGCAGTGTTTAGAAAAGTTGTCTTGTTCGTGAAAGGTTACCGATTTCATACTCCTGGATTTTGATGGCACTGGAAGCTGCTCGGGACAAAAACGTGTGTGTGAAATTCTCACCTTCTAGACCGCAGGTCTGTGAACACTCTGACCAGGCCGACCACTCCAACAGCTGACAGTTGACAGGACACTCGACCACACAGGAGATGTTCATCTGCCACTTCTTCTCCAAATTCATCTGCAGCACATGTTTCAAACAGCACATCATCAAATCATTCACATAACAGACAACCAATCATTACGTTGCAAACTCAATCTGTTATGGTCAGACACTGACTTGACCTCTCAGTACTGCAACTCCCAGAAGTCTCTGTTCTGGCAAAGGGCAGGTTTCCGGCCAGCTGAATTGGATTATAAAGGCTGCTGTGAAAACCATCCCGACACAGTGTGTTTTTGTGAATGAGCCAGATGATGAAGTGGGCCAAGGGTTAAATAGCTGTGGGGAAGGCTCTGCCACAGCCCGCCGGCAACAATTACATGGAGTTGACACATTATGAATGAATAAAACGCCCAGCCAGAAGCAACGACAACAATCTCTGCATGGGAATATTCTTAAATATTTCATGTTGCTTCGGGCTGAATAGTACTGGAACGGTGCGATAATATATTTTAATGAGTTATGTGATCACGTCATTAAGAAAAGAAATTAGAGTGTCAAACAAAGAAAGTAAAATTGGATTCTTCCAAGAAACAAAAAGGGAAGGTCCAAAAGCAAACACCTGAAGGATTTTCCAGTCTCACCTCTTCACAGAATTTTATATCCACCGATTTGCCATCGCTGCGAACGCAGTCAAGCATCCGGGTTTTGATGCCGCCGCCACAGACAGCGTTTGGACTCAGCTGACACGTACTCCAGTCTGAAGAGAAACAAAACATATTCACAATTTTACTAGTTTTAACATTAAAATTATTAACACAAATATTGAGAATCACCGCTGAAGACGGCACTGCTGTTTGTGCCTACGAACAGCAATTTGCCATGACCCCCTTTGAAGAAGTCACCTTATACCCAGTGGCATACCTCTTCCTAGTGTTTGGAATGCCCAGTGGCAGTCCTGTTATATAAATACCACCTGCAACGTAAGCTGGATTTTTTTGCATTGTCAAAAGGAGGATCTTCAACTTGAAATTCAGAAGTTAAATCTGCCAAGAAAGGCAGGCGAGAAGAAGCCAAAAGCCAAAAAACTTTCTTGTAAAGACAAGCTGTGAGCTGCCATGTTGGTTCATGTCAAGAAGTTGGCTCCAAAGGGTCCTCTTTAGACAGTTCAGGGTGTTAGGAGTGAAGCTCGAAAATGACAGTCTAGTCCTGGAAGAGAAATTTGTATGTGCAACAGTGAGAATGCAGAAGTGCTACAGGATACTCCTGATCTGATGGCTGTTGATGGTTTGTTCATGGTGAACGGTTACATTTGGGCCAGCTGAATAGCATGCTTGGAGTATTCGACACAATGCAGATTCTAAGGATGGTAGTGATTCTAACACAGGTCCTGATGTTTGTTTGTACAACTTCATTTTCAATGCTGACTCCAGGCACATTTTTTTCTGTGCTGCAGCAACAGCCTGGGAACTTCTTGTACTTTGTAGTGATGCCCAGCACGATGTTTTTTTTAATACTACGAGGATTTATTTTTACACAGTACATGTAGCCTGAAACATAATCGGAAAGGTCGTATAGAGAAACAATCTCGCTTTGTTCCTTTTTCTTTATCACACTCACAAAATGGAAAATGTCAAGCTTTCGGAGCAACAATGGCTCTCTCACAGAAAATATAAATAACACCAGATAATAAGTTGAATAAATATGCAAAGACTTGGCATCTGCTGTGGTTTAAATAACTAATTTCAGTTTGTTTTCTGCAAATAACTGAAAATAAACACTGTTGAATAATCCAGCACAAAGACAGCACTGCAACGTTGCCCTGAACTTTATGAGTGCAACTCTACAAAAGGCTTACCAATAGCACTGGCAGTAAAACAAAGAGCTGTTCTAAAGCTTCAACAAACAAATCAAGCATGGCATCCAGATCTTTAAGGAAACTGTAAATAAGTTCTGAAATATGATCTGAATAGATATGATTTGCACTGAAAGCATTAAATGTGCTATTTAATTGAACTGAGACTGTGTTCTCCCAAATGTGTCAAAGTTGGATTATTCCATTATGCAAATTCTTTCTAAAGTTGATTACTTTTATTATAGCGTACCACATCAACTTGAATAGTTCTTCTTTGATTCTCAAATGAATTCTTGAGAAAGTCTTCATTTAAGACAAGTCCTCAATTTGTAATTTTTGCAACTTGGAGGCAGAAACGATCACAGATGCTGCGAATCAACAGTAGCATTTATTTGGAGTTATATTTGTTGACAAAACCACAATTTCTACAAATCATTTCAGCAAAGTTTCATTTTACAAATGACTTAAAGAAAATTCTGGCTGTTTAGTTACTATACAGCTTTGGTACATTTGCCTGCTAGGTGCTAGCTCTGTGGTTCTGCAGCTTTTCAAAGGCTTTTTTGGCACCAAAAACAGCTGCTCAGTCTGCAAATAAAACCTTGATGTGAGTTCTCTTGAGTGCACAAACACAGTTGGATGCTGGATACCAAAATAATGAGCTGAAAGATGCTAAATGCTCCGAATAACTGAGAGGAACTGCTAAGCTGGGTGATAAGGATCTGCGGGTTTGTGACAGAACACAGCGCTTACTTGATTAATGATTATTTAATATAGTTAATTCTATCTGTTCTAGATGAACACAGCATTCTGGATAAATTCCAGTCTGGTTTTCGTAGAGCACACTCTACTGAAACGGCACTTATTAGAGTCTCTCCAGTGACATCCTAATGAATTATGCAGGAGAATGCTCTGCCTTGCTGATGTTGGACTTGACGCCTGCCTTTGATACTGTTGACCATCACATTTTGCTAGATAGGCTGAGACATTGGGTGGGTATATCAGGGTCTGCTTTGGACTGGTTGACATTTGCCAAACCTTCTATCAGGAACCTTGGTGTAACTTTTGACTCAGCTCTGACTTTGGACACTCATGCTAATTTATTGGTTCGCTCCTGTTTTTATCCTTTAAAAAATATTGCTAAGCTGAGTCCCATTGTTTCACACTCAGAACTAGAAATGGTCATCCATGCATTTGTCTCATCTCATTTGGATTATTGCAATTCTTTGTTCACTTGTTTAAGTAAAGCCTCTGTAGATCATTTGCAAGTTGTTTAGAACGCTGCCGCAAAGCTTCTGACCAAATCTAAATACTCCCACGTTACACCCCTGCTGATCCAGTTGCACTGGCTCCCCATAAAATTCAGAACCAACTTCAAGATTTTGACTTTGACATTCAGGGCTCTGCATGGACAAGCACCAACCTATATCAGAGATCTTTTACATCATTACATCCCCAGCAGGTCCCTGAGGTCATGTGATCAGGGCTTGCTGGTCGTCTAGCATACGGGCTGAAAACGAAAGGTGATAGGGCGTTTGTAACTGTGGCCCCCAGACTCTGGAACTCCCTTCCTTTAAGCCTGAGATCTGTGGACTCAGGTTTTTAGCTGTTTTTTAAATGAAACCACTATCTTTTTAAACTTGCTTTTGGTTGATTTCTGTTTTTATGTTTTACCTTTTCTGTGAAGCACTTTGTGATTTCTGTCTTGAAAGGTGCTATACAAATAAAATTTTACTTACTTTACTTACTTAATTAATATAGTTATTAAATAGCAGCGTTCACTAATAAGCTATCACGTAAAAGGTAATCCTGGCATCAAGTGCACTGTGTTTTACAGCATTAAATGACCCTTACAATACAACTGTTATCTGCCTGCTTTGAGAGCACATAACTTTACCACATATCAAATATTTGCCAGCGTTCAGCAGGTTGCAGCTGTTGATTTTACCACCCTGAGTGTGAGCAGAGCTGGAAGGCAGGTGAGAGGGTGTCATGATTTAGATGAGAGCAAGAAGCGAAAAGAAGAGGAGGAAGCATTGAAGTCACAAGAAACCAGCCTTTCACAAGTGTTCTGCCTCTGTACTTGGATGTATTTTCAGTTCAAGCGGGATGATGTGGAGGGGACAAAACACAAGGAGACGCTGTTTAGAAGTGTTCAAATGCCTCAGCTGTCACAAAGTCTTTACACTTCAGAGAGAATAAATCCCAAACAGTGAGAAACAACCGTAGTCTGTCTTCGGCTTTTTATGGGGGAGCACACAAAAATGCATTGTCGCTTTATGTTGTCTCATTCCTCTCTGAAAGTTGCTTACCTTAAGCTTTTATACAGTACGCTCATACACAGAGTCTCCCAGCAAGGACAAGAACAAGGATTTTTATATAAAACATCAATTAATTGGTAGAGTTTTTGATATGACGTATTGACACAATGCGACACGATCAAGTTAATTACTAACTCCACTGCTGACACACTAAAATTTCCCAGCCATCAGAGAGCAGAAACTACATAGACCTTTTAGGATACACATGCCAAGCATATAAATGAACCATTTTAAGCTGCCAGATGACTCAGCAGAGCAGTGCGCATGCCTTGTACTTGCCACACTGTAACTTTGACTTCAGCTCATTACCTTTGTGGCATTACATTCTTCGTCTCCTTCTGCCACCTCTTTAAAAATAATCAGTGTGGCTTTGTTGTATTTCTGGAGTCTTTATAGCTTCTGGCTGTTGAAGATGACTTTTAAAAACAGATGCCTGCAAAGGGGTCATTTAAGATTTCTAACATCTCACTTATATCCAATAAATATGGACCCCCTGGGCGACCGTGGCTCAGGGGGTTGGGAATCGCATCTGTAACCAGAAGGTCGCCGGTTCGATCCCTGGGCTCTCTGTCCTGGTCGTTGTGTCCTTGGGCAAGACACTTTACCCTACTTGCCTACTGGTGTTGGCCAGAGGGGCCGATGGCGCGATATGGCAGCCTCGCTTCTGTCAGTCTGCCCCAGGGCAGCTGTGGCTACAACTGTAGCTGCCTCCACCAGTGAATGAATAGTGGTATTGTAAAGTGCTTTGGGTGCCTTGAAAAGCGCTGTATAAATCCAATCCATTATTATTAAATCTGGCTGCCATTAGTGTCTTTTTATGGCGGAATTGCGTTGTGTGGCCATTTGGTCTGATTTGAGTCGCCTCCTTTGAAAAATAAGCAGAATTTAAAAGCTGAATATGAACAGAAAAATCCAAAGATTTAGGAAGCAGAACTTGGCACCCTGAGAAAATTATTTCTGTGAAGGGAAAAAGCAGCATTTTATTCCAGACTTGGGGTTTCACTGCCTTTAAACAACCACAGTGCTGCTTAAAAAAAGAAGAAGTAAAAGAAAAAAACTTGCAACAACGGGGAGGCTGAGGTATCACTCACGAAGAGCGCCGTGCGATGAGCGGCTGTTTTTAGCTGCAGTGAGCTCGTTTGCAAGCTCAACTCGGGAAATTGTGTCTCCTTCTGCTGAGGAGCTTTGTGGCACTCTGGGGACTGGAAATAGGGAGATCGCAACAAGAAAGACTGACAGTAAGAGACAGAGAGAAAGGCAGCAAGGAAAGGAGAGAAACGTTGCAGGAAGGAGCAGCTTGGATGATCTCTGCATCAACAATGGAAAAAGAATACCCAATAATAATTTCTGCTCATATATTAAGTACATATACCCCAGGATACCTGCATGCCACTGTGAACTCAGCAGTTGGGATAATATGTCACCTCTTCCAAAGAGCAGAGGGAGCAGGAGGGTGGGCTTCCAAACTAAGTGAGTGCCAAACTCTGCTTTTATTCGCTTCTATTGAAATTGTTTCTTACAGTTTCCAAAATGAAACATTAATGCATAACCTCAGTGACATGTGAGGTGGAGCTGTGATGTCCCGAGGATTTGAGGGGGAGGCTCGGGTAGGCTGCCAGCTCAAATCTATTTTGGAAATCTTTCTGTTTACAGTTAATCAGAAATGTTTTCTGTTCTAAGCAGTCACACACAGAGGTGCCACTGAGCAAGGCATTTAACCACAGTGGCCTGCAGCCAACTGGTTTACTTGTACTCTTCCAGGCTTTAATGGTTGTAGCTGCAGAGAAATCAAACTTAATGTGTGCCTATTCAACCTCCCTGTGCAAACCGGCGCTAAAGAGATAAACAACCAACCAATAAATAGCCGGCTTTTAGAGACGAGCATTGTGAAGACCAGCTGTGAGCTGGACTCAAAACAGTCCTATTAACGTTACATTGCCATTATACAAGGTTTTGATAACACCCCGCATGGTCTGCAATTATCCTACTAGAATGAAACAAAAGCGATAAGGATAATGAAAAAAAGAAAATAGATGAGCTGTTTATTGATCGCTCATCCCGTGAGGGGCTCAATCTGAAATGGATGCTGCATTTTAAGGCTTACATTTAAGGGGCTGATTTTCATGTCACTGATTTGGTTCAGATTTGGTTCACATCACTGACAGCAGCCCAGAAATCACACAAGCAGCAGCAATGCTGCCATTTTCAGGAAATACGTGATGATGCAGACTGCCAGGGGGCCACAATCCCCGTGTTAATCATCCTCATCCACTCGGAAATGTAGTGAAATAACACAGACAAACCTAAAAAGTCCAGAATACTTCTTTTTACTTCTCACAGTAAGGACTTGATGATTAATAGCACATCTCTACTATTTTAAGGAACTCCTGCGTCACCATGCCACCACGCAGTTACATCACCATGGCGTTGTTAAACATTCACATATTAACTGAACATTAACACTGGTTAGATGTATCATCGCCACAGCAACTTCTGGTGTGAGACACCCAGGCCAAAATCCTGAACATGCATGAACATGAATTTTATTTATACAGCGCCAAATGACAACAACAGTTGCCTCTCAGCGCTTTATATTCTAAGGTAAAGACGCTAAAATAATACTAAGAAAACAGGGTAAACCCCAACAATCAGATGATCCCCTATGAGCAAATGTTTTGGCAACAGTGGGAAAAAAGAACATCAGGCTCAGGGAGGGGCAGCCATCTGCGTGAGGGGAGGAAGACACAGGAATTCACAAACCTGCTCTTTGTATGTGGCTTGGAAGGAGTCTAAATAAAAGATACGAAAAAAAACAGCTATTAGCAGTTTGTCTGGGCTAGCTTTTATAGTCTGGAAGGCTCAAGTGAGCCAGGACCTTCTCCAAGACAATGTGTGGAGCGTCCTGCTGTTCTGAGCCATAAAAACATATTGTACAATCACAATACTCAAGGAGCAAACACAACATGACTGCAGTAACTACAACAGAACATTAACAGTCCCAAGAGTCTGTGCCTTTCCTGCCATGAACTGTCTGTAAGACTCTTTTCTTTCTCCACCTGATTATTGTTAAAAAAACAGCTGCTATTAGCTGATGATTGTTTCTCTATTAATAACCAGCAAAAAAGCCCTTTGACTTTTATATCAGTACATCCTTTTTGGGGAGATTCAGTGTGCCATTTTAAACCAACCAATGAGTGTGGGTTAGGCTATAAACCTGGGCTTCTTCAACATTTCCTTTTACCTGTGATGTTGTAGAAGTAGTTGAAACAGTTGAGGTTAAGGCTGCAGGGCTCCTTTTCGGTCGTGTCTGGACACTCTCTTCCTACGCTGGGGGGTCGAATGGTGTATGCTGTCCGCACTCGATAGTTACTTCTGGTACAGGGCTGAAACAGAGACTTCCCATTAAAAACCTGAGCCATTAGAATGCATAAATGATTAAACAGGCCATATTGTAGCGAGTGATAAGAAGTGAATGGAGGCATATCCTTGACCCGGAACAAAGTCATAGCGTTCCTGCAGCCATGGTGTTCATGTGTTTTGATGATTGAAGGCACTAAATGTGTTAGAATTATTTATGAAGTTATTGGGCCGCGATTCATTTAAAATGTTAATGTCAAGATATTCTCCAATGGCTTTCCTACGCCTGGAGGAATGCCTTTAAATAAGACTCTTTCTTTCCCAAAATGTGGAATTCGATGTTTTTGTTCCAGCAGGAGTTTACAGGAGGGCTGAAACAGATATTCTACTGGAATGGTAAATCACCAGACTCTACACGGTCATTGCTCGCAGAGAAGAGAGTTGGGGGAGAAAATGACAGCCTTTTGAATAACTCCATTGCTGGCATGATGAATAAAACATGTGAGAGGCCCTGCTGGTGCCACTGCAGACTCCACGTCGAGACTGGAATTGTGGGAAGATGGTGCGTCAAGCACTTTGGGAGAGAATGGGGTGTGATTAACAATGGCCAGGGTGCTGCTGTGAGAACAGCGGGTGAAACCAGAGCAGTTAAAGCGGCTTTTTACCATCAAACGGAGGTGTTGGGCGGAGGAGTTGAACAGGATGTTCTGACACCTTTGGAAGTTTTTGCAAAAAGAATGAACATTGCGTGTGTGCTGCAGCCTGTAGGTGTGTGCTGATTGCAGGGGCTGCTGTCTTTTTACAAATATGAAGTCACCATGGAATAGGAAACTGTCTCAGCTGTAGACCAATATCAGTTATATTTAATTTACCATAACTTTTTTACAGTGAAGTAATTTTTTACAAACTGAATTTGTGGTCTTGTGTAAGACTATTTTTGGTTGTCTGCCAAATCATGTTCACAAATTAGCTGCAATATTTTTAGCCTCAGCTTTTATGTTTGCTGCTACATTACTGCTGAAATATATCCAGGTGTGTGTGTGTGTGGCTCTACATGCTCCTGAATCTTTATCATAAATCATGTTCCCTCCCTGCTGAATGCACAGTGAGTACAGTGTAATATAGGTGATATATAAGCCATTTTTCTCCTTCTTCCCAGTTCATATATCTCTTTTATTCCTCCTTGGTGGATGAGAAATAACCTGTTGACAAAGATTCACACACTGCTCACAATGATACAGTACAGCCACGCTTTGAATTCCTGAACCTCAGAAAAATTTTTCCAACAAGAAAATCATATCAGTGGACTTTTACAGAAATCTGACCCTGCCATATCTGCTCTGTGCCAGACAGCTGAGCTGCTGCTTTCTGATGTGGGTTCAGCTCTCACCAGGGTGCAGCGACTCCAGGGTCCCCAGTCGCTGAGGACACAGTCCTCAGGGCAGGGCAGCCGGCTTTCCCTGGCCCCCAAGGGCATCTCCTCCGGGTCGCACAGGTAGTCCTCGACGGGCTCAGATGGGCCGTCAATTGTGTTGAGCATGCACCTGTGGGATCGGGCAAGAAACACCCAGAGTTTGACCTTGTTTTAGCAATTCTGCTGTTGTGGTGCAAAGAAAGAAATAGTCAGACAGTGTGTTTTAACTGGACAGGGAGCTGACAGGTACATGAAGTACCTGACAACCTATGTGCTTCTCACACGGCAGGGTGGATCCCCCAGAGTAGGTGAGGTCAGGTCTATAAAAAAAGTCTAGTTTCACCTTTATTTTAACTTTTATTGTAAGTTTTAACAAAAACATTTTTTACAATAAGTAAAAAGTAAATTGTTTTTTTCAATTAAACCAGAACCTGGATTTCCTCAACGACCTCAGTCAGAATATTTTATTTAAATTGCAGCTCGTTACACCCCAGTCGGCCATTTACAGTATTAATTTCCCCTGCTCTAAGGAGGGACAACTCAGCTGAGGTCATTAGCATTTTTACTCACTCTGACTGTACATTAGCCGCTCTAGCAGCTTAATGGACCACCAACAATCATGCTAAGATGCCAGGTTGGTTATTATCAGGACTGTATATGTTGATATCTTTTCAAGCAGAGTTGCTCCCATGTATGTGTGTTTCAATCCACTGTTTTTAAGATGTTTTTGTTTTGAGTAATTCAATCTACTTCATCAGCTGATCAGTACCAGATAATGATTTTCCAAAAACAGAAAATGTGCATATGTTTGTGTACTTTAATGGTGTGCCATAGGAACACCAATTATTGAATAACTGAATTAAGAAGAGCAGAATCAATTTGTCACATTTTAAAACTGTAGTGGGGTTGTAATTATTTCAACTCTAAAAGACACCAAATAAAATTCAGTCAGTAAAAATAAGATTATTTAAATCTGCAATGATTTTAACAGGTGTTATGGTTGTGTGGGGCCTCTATGCTATCATTATGTCCAACTCCAGTCCTCGAGAGCTACCGTCCTGCAGCTTTTGGATGCATCTTTGTTCCGACACACTTGAATCAAATGAATGGCTTATTATCAGGCCTTTGTCAAACTTGATGGCATGCTGAAGAGGTAATCCAACCATTTGATTCAGCTATATTGGAGTAAGGATGCATCTAAAAGCTGCAGGACAGTAGCTCTCGAGGACTGGAGTTGGACACCCCTGCATTAAGCTTTGCATAAGTAATGAGAGCCTCATATGGAACAGAGCATCAGTGACAGCATATAACACACTGAATAAGTCAGGCATAGAATGAAAGGAGGAGCTGGAAAGTTTGTGGGCTGCAAAGTGGCTTGCATAGTAACTATAGCCACCCCAGTGTGACTTAAATAAAAAAACCCTGTATGAGATTTGCTGTGAAGCACAAACAGCTGAGTCATCAGTTAATGCTGGCTGCAGCTGATATCTGCTGATCTGCCAGGATTGAGGCTGAGCTTAACTTTGTGGCCTGCCTGAATAAATGCCATGCTCAATTACAATAAAAATTTTTTGGTAAACACTGAAAACAAATAAGCAAAGCCACAATGGCAGGCAATCTGACAAATACCTGACTCTTCTGGTCTGGACACCTTCTCCACAGTTTTCTTTCAAATCCACGTTGCTGACTTTCCACACACTCCACGGCTCGGCCACCCACACGTACTGTTTGCAGTCACTTTGACACGGCACCACCTCATACACCTGAGAAAAATAACAAACACTCTGAAGTTGATAGAGCAGCAAATCAAATGTAGCAGATTGCAGTTTCTTTTCTAAACTTTTTTGCTGCAGGCAAAGTCTCAGAGGCTTGCTTAGCTAACAAATATGATCCTCGTGGTCAAAATGAAAAAAGTCGCCTCTACAAATATATTTATTTTTTAATATTTCATCTTAGCCATGCAAGTTTGTCAGTTAAGGTTTGCCTAATACACTGTGATTCTTTAGCTCAGCTCTCTGAGGTTTAACTCAGCCAACGAGATTATTTCTGCCCCCAGAGAAGCTTTGCCACTGAGAAATGTCTGCATAAATAAAACTCAAGTCTCCTATAGGACCTTGTTTAGCTACATTCATGACATTGTGAGTGTGTACATTTATCTGTCAGTGACCTACTGACACTGGTGACACTGTGAGTACATTGCAATTATCTGAGGAGAGCAACTCTTACCTGGGCCTGTAGCAATGAGTCACATCCAGCGAGCATCGGGTTGGATTAAAAGGAGACAGATGGATTAATGAGCAGATGCCAACTGTTCATACAGTGCAAAACCTATGATTAATGCAACATTCAAGAGTTCATAATCAGAAAAGCCTGTGGCATAAACACCTGTGTGAACTTAGCAGATTCACACACACTGCCAGGCGTACTTGCTGATACTCTAAGGCCTGGAAAGCATTTCATTTGAGCAAATCAGAGAACCTTAAGGAATCAACTGGCACATTTGGGGGCATTAATTCAGTGGATGGGATCCATTTATAGCACCCGTTGCTTTTTGCAGTGTCGCTGCTCAGAAAAAAATGACTGCAGCAATAATGAGTGGAAGGTAAGAGAAAGCTCTGCAGACTCAAGTTTATTGTCATAAATAATTAATTTATTTCTTTCTCTCTAGTGCTGGATATGTATAATGTGCAGCATACTTGTAATAACTACAGACATATTGTAGCTCAGCTCATAAATATTAAACAATGGTGAGCTGAAAAGAGCTTCAGTTTTGACTTTAATCTCCTGCTCAGCCACCAGCTCGCATGTCTTAGCACGTAGATTAGTTTGGCTGTCAGTACCTGGTTGATGTGGTCCAGTTTAGGACACGGCCGACCTCCGTTGTAAGGCTTCTCCCGAAGCCATTTGGAGCGAACTTTGACTCCGCTCCCACAGGACTTGCTGCAGCGTGACCAGTTGGACCATTCACTGAGTTTACAGTCTGAAGGGCAGGGGATGATGCACGCCTCTTCAATATAACCTGAAAGGTGGTGAAAAACAGGCGTTTTTGTTGTATTTTTTATAGCGCAGATTCTACTCTAAGGTTTGTGACCTGTAAACTTAAATGGATGAACACTGTGACCTAAGAGTTAGCTACAGACATCAGAAGAAAATCCAAAACACTGCTGTGCTGCTTTTTCATGCATTTTCAATAAATTATTGGAGCGCACAGTATCATCTCTTACTAATTATTTCATGAGGAAAAAGCATTCACCAGAAAATTGATTCACAAGAAATTTGCTTTGAAATAAAAACCTTTGTTCTTTCTGTCTCCCACCAGCAGGATCTAAGCCTCACAGGTTGGAAATGACTGCTTTAGAGAAAAATACCCAGCGTCCTGGTTGTTGAACCCGTTGTTTTCTTCATCTAGTGCAGTTCCATTTTTTTTTCTGTCTAACATTTCAATTTTATTTAAAAGGTGTAAAAGCCCTGTAAACTATTAACCAATACTTTACAAACTAATCTAAATGCATTTATTGATTTTCAGCCAAGTGGAATAAAAACAGGGTCCATATTCAAAGGCCTCATTTTTTGCTCTATTACTGACAAGTGGAAAAAATATCTCCCAAAGCAGAGGTACAGTAGGGCCTGGCAGGACGCTTCGTTATTTCAGTCCATCTTCCCACAACTCACAGAGTCTTGACACCATCAGCAGGGTGGTGCTTTTTTGGATTTTTCTACATCTCAGTTGTGATCTCCTCTGTCTTGACCTCTACACAGAGGTCAAGTTTCAGTCAAATATGATGAAATATTTCTACACTCCTGGCTTTGTGTATTGAAACTTTCTCTACAGATTTCTTTTCCTTGATCAGAAACAGTCTGTTTAGTGCATCAAGTACATTTTGTAGGCTTATGCAACAGCACTGGTCTGCAAATCAGTTTACCCTTTGATTAAGAAAATCAATGAGGTGAATGAGCTGGTAAAGTGGACTGTCTCACCAGCTGCTTAAGCCCTTCCTGTTTCTAATGTGAGCTTCTCCAGGCTGCTTTTATTTTCAGTGAGACATGTGGTGCTACGCTGATGATGGGCTTGCTGAGAACACACTTCCCACGATTCAAGAGGAATCCCACACAGGCCAGTCACTCCTCACAAATCAATGTTGTCAAGTGGAGTCGTTTTCTCACTTTTTCTAACCTGGGAAAAGTCTTGCTGTTCCCTTCGTGCTTCACACTGACATACTGAGCTGCCGGGTACAACAACACCTGACCACTGAGCTCTGTGGGATCTCTGTGCTGTTAGTAATTCTCCATTCTGTCAGATTTTCTGTATTGGTCCAACAACTGAGCAAACAATGTCTCAGTCTCAAAGCTCAAGCTAAAGTTTAGGCTAACACAGCTCAGCTCAGGCAGAGCGGTCTGGTGGTGTGACCATGTGCTGGTAAGAAGACTGAGCCTAGTCTGAGTAATACATTTATATGTTTAGGGCACCTGCAGAGGTTTATATTTAAGTTTATCTCTGATGGGCAGAGCCATAGTTAAAAGGACAATCACAACCATCACCTCTGAAATTTGACTGGCCTACACCCTCAAAGACTGCTGTGATATCAGTGAAACCATGGGCAGAAATTACAGAGGGAACAAAAGGGAACAGATGCCCTTTTTTCAGGGAAAACAGTTTTGTCCTCTTAAATGCATCGTTATAAATATATGATATTGATTATAGTATAATAATATGTATTGAAAGCTCTTGAATGGTTGGGTGGGTCTCACTAGTAGCACCAGGAGAACAATCTGGAATAAAAGTTGAATTAATATGATTTTTGTTGATTGATAAATATTGTAGGATTTATGAGGTTATATTTCCAGTGGTGCATGCTAGAAAAATGTTATTAAATAATTAGCTGCAAGTGCTAAAAATGGACCTGAAACAAAGCTTGTGTGGACGGGAGAAATCTGGGTATGGCATTATTTGGTTTTTGATGCGATGCAAATGCTGGCATAAATACAGACTTAGTATTGCTTAAAACAGCTAAGGAACATCCAGACCAGTGCCGCCACAGGCAGTAGCCAAATGGATTGTTAGACTTTAATCATGGGGTTTTAAACTTGGCTCAACTGGAGAGGACAGTTGAAGGGTGATCGTGCCACCCAGTCTGCTGGACCAGAACAGAGCAGTACGTTTTCTTAAAGCTAATAAGATTAGAAAATAAAAGTCTTTTTAATCCAGTCAGAGCTAGAGTTCTGGCAGCACTCTGGCAACAACTACGGTAAATACACAGTGATCTCGTCCATACACATACACACAGTCGTGTCTCCATGGAGCTGCATTCGTTTAATAAAGCTCATTCATTTCTAAACGTAACCATAACTATTACTTGCATAATCTGCACTTAGCCTTACCCAAACGCTAACGCCAATCTTTCCTAAAAATTAAATGATTTATGTAACAGGAACCTGCTTTTAGTCTCCATATGCGACTGTGCAAACAGATTTAGGTCCCCACAACATGAGTAATACCTGCACACACACACACACACACACGCGCACGCACACACACACGCACACACACACACACAGGCCTCCTTTCCCTTTGGTGTCTCTGAGCCCAGATCAGCATCTCTACATCCACACCTTGCTGAGTAAAGCCTGGCCTCTAAAACAGCTCCATTACCTTCGACCTCCACTTCAGTCTAGTCAGGTCATTCGAAAATCACTCACACTATCACTTGGAGGTTCACCCTGTATAAAAGCCACAGCACCTGTGCCTGCAGTTCACTTGTAATTCAACTGATATAAACTTGTTAGGTGTCTCGTCTCCTCTGTGAAGCCTTTGGGCTGAGGCCAGGAAGGAGATCACTCCTGCTGCCTTTGCAAGTCAACTTAGGTACAGCCAGACACATGCTCTCACTGCAGTCTCCAAAGCAGCCGGAGCTGTAGAAAGCTTCCTTAGCTGGTAAAAACCAAATGATACGGTCTTACTAATCATATGCTTAAATCTCCTTATAATAATTTGTATATGCACCAAACTATCTAAAAGATTAGTCAAGCTTTGTAGAAAGATAAAAAAATATTTTGTAGCCTGCAAGAATGTAACAATTAAATTAAAATGACATTAAACTGTACTTTGCCAGTTCAAGAGATTATTTTGCTGAGAGCATGTCTCGTTATTTTGTAAGGTCTCAAATTTCACAATGCCTTCTGAGATTAGTGTCTTCATCTGGTCCTGAGTCTAGTGGCATTTTGCATATATAACCACCTGACTGTTTTTTTTTAACTTATCTGGATAGGTAGGTGGATGTTTGCAAATTACTGATGCGCAGAATGGAACTGACAACACAGCTCCACCCCCCCAATCCAATGACTTCCCTCTATGCACAACTACTATCATCACTGTGCAATACTTAATTTACATGCAATAACCTACACTGTAAATATATAACACTATTTATTTATTTTTCTGATTTGTCTTTTTGTACATTTTATATTTTTGAATACTGTTCATATGTATATAGTGTATATAGCGATGCTCTGTATCCCATTGTACATGTATATAGTGACAATAAAGGCATTCTATTCTATTCTATTCTTAAAGCTTCAGAATCCCACTAAAGTTGTTTTCACATTGGTCTGTGACAAATGACAAATGCTAAATTAAAAAGTATATGTAGCGGCTCAATTAGAAGACAACCATATATGTCTAGATTTACTGAAAGGGCCAATTAGAGTGTTGACACAATTATAAAAGAAACATTTCTAAACTCAGGCTACTGGTGTCAAAGGCAGAACTTGAGATGATTATTCATGCTTTTATCTCTTCTCGTTTGGATTATTGTAACGGTCTTTTTACGTGTCTTAACAAATCAGCTCTGGATCGCCTTCAGTCTGTTCAGAATGCAGCGGCAAGACTTTTAACTGGTACAAACAAGAGGTCACACATTACTCCAGTTTTGGCTTCTCTTCATTGGTTGCCTGTAAATTTTAGGGTTCATTTTAAAATTTTAGTTGTAACTTTTAGAGCTCTGCATGGTGAAGCTCCCCAGTATATCTCTGACCTGTTGAAACCTCATGCTTCATCTCGAGCACTTAGGTCTTCAGGTCAGAGGCTACTGGTGGTCCCACGTACTAGATTTAAAACACGTGGGGATCGGGCTTTTCAGGCACTGGCACCTAGGCTGTGGAACTCTCTGCCGTTGTCTTTACGCTGTCTAGACTCTACTGACTCCTTTAAAAAGCAGCTGAAGACATTTTTATACAAACGGGCTTTTAACTAATTTAATTAATTTTAACTTGTATGTCTGATCTTACTGTAAAGCACTTTGTGATTTTTATCTGTGAAATGTGCTATATAAATAAATTTTACTTACTTACTACTTACTTACTAAAAAGGTGCAGATGTGAGTGGAAAGTGGTTTAACAGCAACACACTTGTTCTTTTAAACAGATGCAGTCTTTGTTTCGATAATTGCCAACACAATCAACCAAGAACAGCACAAATGAGCAGAAGTGACGTGGGTGGGAATACTTCACACGTGCATAGTGTGTTATATTTAACCTAAAAAAGATAATATAGTATAAGCATAGCTTTTATATGTTAATAAAGTTAACGCAGCTGTGCCATGTGGGCAAATATGCACATTGATCTTACTTTTCCAGCATGTAGTGTGATGCTGAAAGCATTTACTACAGTCAAAGGGAAGAATCTGACAAACAGCCAGCTGTGACAACAAGAAGGACAGTCGATAAATTTAAAGCTTCTGCAAAATCCTGAATAAGTGACAGGTGACACATACATCCATAGTTGTCATGCATTTTATAAACCCCACCTGCATTGCTCTAGGTTAAACTCCACCCTGTTGTGTTATGATTTTGGACGGGAATGCTTTAGCACCCAGCTCACGGCTGTGAACTGTCCCCCAAGCTCATTCTAATAACAGCTATCACATTCGTTGTAAGTGTGGACGAGGTAGGATATTTGTTTTCTTCTCATTGTGTAAGTAAAAGATTCATTAAAACATTTACAACATTCTCCTCTCCAAATTCTGCAGTGTGAAAGGAAAACTGCGGCACATACATATGCAATGAGGACAGCCACAAGAGTAACAGAGTCCACATGTTTCCTTTGCTAAATTTTTACTGTGCCTTTTTAATGAGTCACAGCAGTAGCCTTTGCACCAGTGCACACCCTCCCAGGGTGTGCTAACAACTGCAAAGTTAATGAAACTTTTTTGTAAATTTAACAATTTTTTTGGTTGTTTTGACAAATATTATTATAATCAATTGCAATGAAAACAACAAAAAGAGGAAACTGTTCTATTGTAAATATAGCACAGATAGAAAGATACATTAAGTTAAATACTGCTGGGCTAAAGTGAACACAACGGATAATAACGAGACTTTATCAAAAGATGATTTTCTGTTTGCAACACTTATTTTGTCCATCTGGTCGGGAATAAAGTCCAGGTTATTCATCAGCTAGGCATTTGAAAGCAAATTTCATCTCCCTGATGGCTGTCCTGCGAGACTTTAGATGCCCGTTTTGGCTCTAGGGACCACCCAACATTACTGCCTGTTATGCCCCTCTGCTCCACAATCCTCCTCAAGGTAATAGAGACAGCCTAATCCCTAGATGCTCTGAAAAACAACTGTATACCCTTTAGGCTCAGGTTGGGGCTCAGAGGGGAACGACAGCAGTGGCCATTAGGCCAGAAGGACTCGCTGATGTTTTTAACTAAAATGATTAAACATTGACCTTTGTCCTCAAACCTTCAGGAGAAGGTTTTGCCTTTATGACTTCCCCCAATGATTGCATCCCCTCCCCCTTTACCACAGTGCTACAGTGCTGAGCCATCCTGTAATATGATGAGGCCAAGGCCCCATGAGCCATCCCGTAATATTATGAGGTTAAGGCTCCCTGAGCCACCCTGTAATATTAAGTCACAGTGAAGGTCAAAGCATCATGGGTTGTTGATAGCAGCAGAGATAAGAAATAAGACTAACGCCGAGCACATCAGAGATGAGAGATTTTCCCCTTCTGTATCATCATCTTTGGCATAGTTTAATGTTACTTACCTACACAGCTTTGTGTGTATGGTTTGAGAAGGCTGTTGCTTTTTTGTTTTGTTTTGTTTAAGTTACACCAAACAGATGATCTGCTGTTGAGAAAATGAGAAATTCATACACACAAACACAGTTTGCAATAATTTTCCATCAAAGTGAAGAGTTTAAAGACATGAGTGGTGGCTGAAATTCTAAAACAGGAATGGTCGATTTCTTGACAGGACATAAGAGTGGACAGGAGAGATGAGGAAAATACACAATACACAATATTGTGTATTGTGTATTTTGTTGTACAGTTATTTTATTTTCAACTTTAATTTATATATTTTATCTTATTCTTCCCAGTTAAATTTACCCTTCATTCTAATTTGTGTTGTACAGTTATTTCATTTTTAACCTTAATTTATATTTTATTCCTTCCTAGTTAAATTTACCCTTTTTAATTTTTCATATTTATTTCCTATCTTATTCATAGCCTTTCCTTTTTTTGTCTTCTTTAGGTCATGAGCAGTTGTCCAAGCATTTCACTACATATCGTACTGTGTATGACTGTGTACGTGACAAATAAAATTTGAATTTGAATTTGAATTTGAAAGGACGTGCAGGAAATGGCCTGGGGTAGACTCGCCAAAACCAGTAAGTTATGTTGGTGCATGAGAAAAGCCAGGCCTAAAGATCTAGGCCTAAAGTTCAGTCAGCAAGCCCCTTAAAAATCACAGGTCTGCATTCCCCAACTGGTTGGTGAGTGGCTGCTAGAGGTTGCTGGCAGTTGCTTGCAAAGAAGCGTATGGAGCTGCACCAGAATGCTCCATGCAATTACTCTTTCCTAGCAGATTGCTGTGGTCGTGTGTAGTTTGCCTGGAAGATGTCAACTTGTCTGCCAATATTCATCAACTGCTTGGTGAGCTGCAGTGAAAAGTGTGTCTTTTCTGTGTTGGTTGTGGTGGTAAGGCACAAGTGCCACCTGAAATATCAAAATCTCATAGCAACCAAAGCGGTCAGGATTTCGGTGCAGCATCCCCTTTGTGATATATTTCACCTAGAAACATTAAGCAAACACTCGCCAACATTTTACCCTAACAACCTGTTGTTTCCAGGTGGTGCCAACTGGTCGCTAAGTCTGCGTGACTGAGGCCTTAATATAGTGTTCACTCTCACTGACTTTTGCTGTTATTTATGGCTGTGTTATTCATTTTTCCCTCTTTCATCACATGTGTGCTTCAAGTGTGAGAATTGGTCATTTAAACGACTTGAAGCTTCATTTATTCAGGTCATCAACAATATACCTGCCAGGTATGGCGAAGATCAGATGAACGGTTGTTGAAAAAAATGCAAGAAAACACAAATGCCTACAGCATTTGAAAAGATCAAAAGTTTCCAACAGAACAAATAAGCAGAGTGAGTGGTTTAACTTTTGACCCCCCAGATAAAAGATGAATCTCCGACCTCCAAAGAGAGGATCAAAGCAGTCAGTCGACGGGAAACACCGATGCAATGAAACAAGCCAAAGGATGAATACTGTATTTCCGAGATTCCCAACAATTCACTTGCCAATTGTGTCCTCTTTTTATTAGAGAACTCCTTTTGTGGTTGACTGGATTATTGCTGAACACTACGAGAATCATGAATCTTTCATTTGGATGTTTCTTTTGCTGCTGATTGCTCCATCCCTGCTGTCAAGGTTGACTTTTTAATTGGCTAAAAAAATAAGCCTATATAATAAGATATAATATATATATAATCCTTATAGGGTTGCTTGCTGTGCCTGTGTCAAAACCTCAGAATAACAGCTTATTGAAAACAAGTGGTGCTAAAGCAGAGTGAGTGTTATCTTCTCTTATGCAAAATTATTTTCACAGAGGAATAAGACAATCTGAAAAGTGTGCAGAACCACAAAGCTTGAAATAACGTCCACATTTAATGATAACCCCCTTTTTTCTGGTGATGTCTGTGTAATAAAAAGATAAAGGGAGCACAGTTTGCCTGATCGACATCATAGCCGGGGGCATTGTGTCAGCTGCGGAGTCGTGGAAGGACCATGTCTCCTCCATCAAGATTAAAAGTGATGATGGTAAAGATGGAGAGAATGGCTGAGAAATTGGGAGAGGGAGTTGCAAGGAGAACAGAGGAAGACGGCTGAATGAGGGGAATAAAAGAGATTTAATGATCTCTTTGAGCTTCACATGCACTAATGCCAAGCTTCATGAATGTGTTGTTGTTTTTCTGTGCACCTCAAGGAATATTCCTTTTTTCTTAGCTCAACAACGCTTAAAGATGAATGCATGGGTGCACACGTATGCACTCACAAACATTCACAGGTGTAAAAATACACAGAATCTGACAAAAGCACACAAACACACAGAGCCCCAGCCTTACGATGCGCTCGTCACACCCACACTCAGATTAACTGACGCATATCTGAATCTGTGACTCACACAAGGAGAATAAAACCATGTTTATATATGCACAACACTGATGTATTCATTTGAACATCTCCTGCATTCGATTCCACAGCAATTTCACAACGAGTTTCTGAGCTGGGATTCTTTGCTTGAAGTATTTTGGATCTAAGATAAGACCTTACAATGAGGGGACAACTGATTCTGACAGGAGTGTGCCAGAAAAAGGCCTCCTTATGTGAAATTCAGTATTCAGAATGAGTCTTTAGCAGCCATGGGAGGGGTTTTCATATGTGCACAAACAAAATCTTTTGCTTCAGATGAATATTTAACAGAACAAAGTTATTCCTGCATCTGCTACATTCCAGTGCACTACAGTAAACTTCTCACCTGAAACCAAGAAGTAAAGTACAAGAAAGGGGAGAAAAGTCTGATTTTCTACACATTGTGCTCCAACTCAAGACTGAAATCCAGATTTCTGAGAGCTGCCACCAAATTTTAAATGGTAGTAAACTGAACTTAACTCCTAAAAAAAACTACAAAATATCCCAGAAAGGTTTCTGTTCCATTGTGTAGACATAAATGGTAGTTGTGGTCAACTTGTCTAATTCTACAGCAGCACCACTTTTGGCAAACAGCATCTCTGCATGGCTGGATAACCCACAGAAAACAGTGTCTTCGTTATAAATTAGTTTCAATAAAACTAGCCAGAGGAAATCTTCAGGAATTATGAGACATGGCCTGTGTGCACACATCTGAAATTAACCACAGTTGAGGGAGTAGATGCCGTGGCTCCGTCTGGCATAGCATCACCCACAGCTTGTCACCATTACTGTTAGAGATACATTGAGCCAAAACCCCCAATTTATGAGTTCTACCCTGGTTTTAAAGCAAATTAGATAACTAAAGCCATGTAGAACACAACCATTTAATGCTGCACTTCCACCCACTATAATGCACACTCTGTGGAATAAACAGAAAGGTCTTCAGTGCAGCCACACATCGCTGCTACAGGTACAGTATACAAATGTTCAGACTTTTAAAAAAATACCCATTTAAAGGAGATTTAGGACGAAACTCACAAAATAAACACCTGAAAATGAACAACGTGGTAAAATGAAAGTATATGGTTGAGTTTATGAACATTGCCCAAAGGTGCTACAACCATAAAAAAGCAGTTTATCAGCCTAGTGCTACTGCTAACTACTTTTAAATATATAAAGACATCCTAAAAATTGTCAGTTCAACTATAGAGCCAGTTTTACCCTCGGTAGTTCAGCTGATATTCATATACTCATATATGATATGTGATCCAAGTGAAATTTGGGACTCATCCAAATATTTTGAAAGGGTTGTAGCTTATGTCTAAAAACATACTGAGATACATGTAAAATTAACATCCTCCAATTCTTAGGTCTGCCTGGTGAGTGTGTAACACACTGTCCAGCAGCTAATGAGGATATGTGCCAACAAACTATTATTTATGTAATCTGTACCGCACATTTTTCGAGGTTTTCCTTTACAAAAGGAACAAGCTCTGGGACTACACTCCTGACAAACGCACATGCAAGCATACCCACCATGACTGTTGCAGCGTGACGTCTCCACCAGCCTGTTGTCCTGATCGTAGCACACCATGGCCTGGTAGCGGTAGCCCTGTCCACATTCCTTGATGTCTCCTTGCACCTTCATTCCTAGGATGCTCTCCACTCTGCCTCCCTCAGGCAGGATGCAGTCTGACCAGTTCCCCACTGGCTGTGCGTTGTACTTATCACAGGGGCAGTACTGCGTCTCACTCAGAGGGTACATTTGTGTGTTCTTGCACTTGTCTTTCTTCTTGCTTCTCCCTGCGGAGTGGAGCAGGATATAGATTAAGAGAATCCAGAGACCTATGTGTCTGCTGGCATTGACGGATTTCAGCATGATACTGAGGCTGCTTTCAAGGTCTTGTTTACCCGCTAAAAAAAAAGACTAGACAACACAGGAGCTGCTGTGCCCCTATGCATGTGGGATACATGATGATAGATTAGGCTTGCCAAATAGTTTCCAGCAGAGTGGGCTCTTACTGAAACAGCTTGATATTTTTTATCCTCGCACATGCCAAGCATCGTTAATCACAGATCACTGTGCAAAGAAATACTCTTTTCCTTACAGCAGCTCTCATTAGTAGCTGTTTCCAATGTAAATAAGGAGATGATGTGTGGATGACTGTCCCTCTGATGATCCGAGGCTTTACCTGCAGTTTTTTGCCATCAAATTTTCGAACTGTGGATTCTCAAATTTGTCTTGTGACAGGCGCACAGCTTTGTGTTGTTGATACTGTCCACAAACATCACAGTGACCAACAGGCAGAAGAAATGAATGCTTCTTCCACCCTGGGATCCAAATGTTACACCAACCACAATTATTTTAGATTTGGTAAAAAGAAAAACTTACTAAGGCTAAAAAGAAATGAACTAGGAGGTAGTGGGCAGTCATGGTATTAATAAAAATGCTTTTGAACCACAGGATAGTGGCTAAACCACAAAATCCACACTTTCCCCTTCCTAAAAAACTAAAAACAATGAAAGCATGTCTCTAAAAGAGTAATTACCTGACTTATGACTTACTAATGATCCGTCTGCTCTCTTACACATAGGTGGTTGGGTCAAAAGGTACTTAAAATTCACATCACTGGATAACAAAAGCTTTTCAAATCCACTTTCTCACAGTTTCGGGTTGACTTTGTAACCTCTGTGCACAGTTGTGGAGGTACCTTAATTCTTTACACTATTACACATGACTGCAATGCACGACGTACCCCCTGGTGACACTGACACTGATCACAAAGGCAGACGTCTTCTCCTAGACTTGTTGCTTTAATTCCACCAGAACATTTAGCTGTCAAAAACTAAACGCAGAGATTTTTTACCTTGTGTTTCATTTTAAAACTCCTCTGTTGGAGCGCTGCTCAAATCTTCTTGCACTCCTCAAATGTTAAACTCCAATGCAAATAAGTCTGCCTGAAAACGGTTCACAGCAGTGCATTGTTTGTGCTATGCCGCTCTGTCCTCACCTATCAATGACCTCTTTCTGGTGCGGACCCCCACACAGTCAGCTGTGCAAGACGAGAACTTGGACCAGTTGGTCAGCTGGCAGTCATCCTGGCAGGGGAGCTGACAGCGCTGAGTGATGGCAGGCATGGCCTTGGCAAATTTCAGACACTCACTGATATCGGCCTGCGTCCCGTCCAGCTGGCGGCAGGACACGGCTGGAAGAATGAGAGGAAGTCGGGTCAGAAGACCCCATTAGAACATTAAACATTGTGATTTAATGACTGATTGTTTCAACAGATTGATTGGAAGTCGTAACATGAATGGAAAGTTAAAGACATTGTTGAAAGGTAATCAAAAGTTGAATGTTTATAGGAACACTAATGTCAAAAAAAAAACCAAAACATTCAAGTTGAGATGACTAAATACCATTTTTCACGACTGTTACTGTTACAGTTTACTTTACTTTTTTGATGCATTTTCCATTTGCAGGACTTCCTCTGAATCTTACTTCATCACAGCATATTTTGATTTTGTAGACAAAACAAAATGTCCTAAAAAGTAGTAAAATATAAAGTATTTAGCTCTACATTCAGCAATTCCAAAATGAGAAACAAACTTATATGTTGTATTTGTGCACAATAAAAATATAAACGCAAGGGTCATTCATATTTCATATAGGGTGGTTGCTTCCAGTTCAACCACAGTAGATTTCCCTGCAATGAAGCATGGAAATCTCACTTACGTTAAATGTCTAAATTTTACAGGAAGGAAAAGTTCAGCAAGGTACTCTCAGCTAATCCCTTATTTCCCAAGAGCCTACCACGGCACATGGATCTGCATCTTTGATTTGGTACAGATTTTACGCCTTTCCTGACACATTCCTCCCATTTATTGAGGCTTGGGACCAACACTCGGAGTACACTAGCTTGTGACTTCCTGAGGCTGGGTTTGTATCTCCTCCCAGTCTCAGACCTGCTCAGTATTTAGGTCAGAAAGCTTGACTCTAATAGTTCAATAATTTAACAACCAGTGTTCCAGTTATTTGTGCATTATGCACACAATATATAAAGTTAAGGTGAGTTGAGTTGCAGACGGGCTTATAGGCACATTTGGTTTCCTATGGAAAGAAATATCTGCTGTCTGTAGTTTGATGTTATATTTTTACTGCACAGATAAAAACTAGACAGCAAAAGTGATATTTTTGCCTCATGATATTGCTGTGTTTTAAAAAAGCAATATAGTATATTATACATTTAGCACTTGCAGAAGTCATTTAATAGAGGTAAAGCTTGACTAATAAAAGATTTTTGTCAGCCAAGAAAAATTTAAGGGAGTGAAAACTTCAGATATCACTAACTATGCTAATAGGATTTATATAGATTTATAAATACATATCTTTATATGTATTTATAAACTCTCTCTATATATGTAAACACTATTGGGTTCATTAAATCACCTGAATAACCTTTCAGTTATGTAAGTCACAAGAGCATGCTAGTAACACGGGCACTGCTTGGTTTCTATTTATGGCCACAACCAGAAAACAAAATGAAACTTAACATTACTCTAAGGTTACAATTCATAAAGAAGATGCCACATTGAAGATTCGCTTAACCAACAAATGATGTTACTTATAAACAAAGATAAATAAACCATTTGGGTCTTGGCCCGGTACACAATATACTATAGGAGCCAGGACTTTCCCCTCTAAACTAATTTAATAGTAAATGAAATAAGCTAAATAACCCCCCCCCCCCCCCCCGCGCCCCCCCACACACACACAAACACACAAAGAAGAAAGGAACTGAGGGGACTGGAGAGCTGTTCACTCCTCAGTCCCAATCCTTTGCTCAATAAGGGCCAGGAAGACCAATAATTAACTTCTGTTCAGCTATGATGCTACTCTGCTACATGTGCTGTCAGAGTCAAAGCTACTATAGAGCTATACCCAATTTATTTTTTCTGCATTATAAATTTTTTTTCATCATGTCAATATAAAATCTGTAAAAATGATCACCTAATTAAATCAGATATTATTGCTAGTGCACTAACATTGTCAATTGGCTAGATAGATAGATCGATCGATTGATAGATCTTTATTAATCCCACGGGTAGGTTCCTCCGGAAAATTTAGTGTCCAGCAGCAGAACACAGACAAAATTTTTCTTAGTAAGAAAAAATAAAGGGGAAAAAAAGAATATGAATACAAGTATAAAAATAACATATAGAAGCCAAAATGTCTATTGCTATAGATAAAGCTCTTTCAGAACTACACAACACATCCTACAACCTCTGACAGGCCAAGTAGTTCTTGTGACAAGTGAAATAACTTTGATATGTGAAATCACTGAAGTGCCCCTTTAATTAGGAGTTCTTAACCCACTCGTGAGCACGATGACTTGAAATATAGATTTAAAGGGAGCGGATGAAAAATAGATCAGAACTTTACGATTCAGATTAGCTCTCAGGGGGGTTTAATAACAATTAAGAAAAGAGCAGACACAAAAGCATCTCTCCCTCAATTGGTTTAAAGCCCAGAAGTCAATTTGTCTTTGACTGCATCATCCTTTCCTTTGTTCTTTCAATAAAGGGTAGTACTTGTGTTGCTGCAATATTTCATTTTCTTGTGATGCAGACATTCTGCAGGGCTGTACCTTCATAGAGAAATCAATCTCTAAGCACATTTTGCTGAACCCCCGTGGGCACCGCTATTGGTTTGGAAAGCCTCCGTCGGCTGGTGTGTTAGGTCAGGTCTTATATTGTTGTGTGTGTGTATGTGTGTGACAGAGTGGCTGTGTTCAAGAAAGAGAAAGAGAACAGCACAAGCCCTCTGTTCTGTGTGTTTAATAATGCCACTATAGGGTTTTTCCACCCTCTAAGGAAAGCCTCTTTCCAGGTAAACAACACAATACGCTGTCAGGAAACACGGACCAGAAAGGACAGCGTGTCTCATTTGGTCTGAGTCGATGACAAAATGATTTCTGCCATTTGGAAGTGACAGAAGTGTGAAAACCAGTGCAGGAGAGTCTGAACTTCAAGTGTCACATGGCATCAAGTCACAGAGAAGCTGCACAGAATCTGGAAAAATAAGGTCTATAATGGACCTTAAAGCATTTTCATAAACCGATTCTTCTGTCCATTAATGCAAGCTAGCAAAGGCGAGACAGAAAAATAAGCACTAATAATGGCTTTCCATAGGAGCTGGAAATGAAATTGATCATTCTGCGTGACCCCCCTGAAATTGGATTTTTATGAAAGCCTCCTAGGACTCTATAGTGTACCCATTCTCTATAAAATGGCGAGAGGAAATATGCTTTTAAAGAGAGAGAGCCACAACTCTTAAAGTACTTGTCACTTGTGCGTGAAGTCGAGATGAACAGGGGTCTGGGCTGTTGTGTGCTATAGGCACGGTGAAGCATCTTCTTCTAAATTTGAGCAAGAGATATTCGATTAAAATTGCATGACAAGAGCCCGAGGTGGAAAAAAAAAGCCAGCAGTGAAACAAGCCAAGCTGTCAAACAAGTCTCAAGAGGAGGATGATAAGGTGTGAGCACATTTCCTTCCCAAACTCTAGAGGATTACAAATAAATAAAAAAATAAAATAAAAACAACTGGAGGAAAAAAGTAAAAAGAAGAAAAATATCTTTTACTGCTGATGTTTATAGGAGTGTCATCTTCAGTTTGGGCCACGTTGTGTGAGTGGGAGGATTTGATGCGTACTCTAACTAAATTGGCCTATTCTCCAAACCTTGGCACATCCATCTGCTGCTTCATGGCTGGGCTCCAGATGCTCCGCAATGAGCAAAAATTAAATTTAGGGTGATTAGGAATGGCTCAGGGACGGTGCAGGGGGAAACAGGGGACGGAGAGATTTGTTTCTATACCTCGTGTTTGAATCCCTGGTCCACAGGTCTCTTGTGCACCCGGAGTGTCCTGTCTGAGAAACCAGGTGACCAGCTGGCACTTCCTCCATTTGTGGGTTTTCCACCTAGAATAAATAAAATAAGTACATACATATAATTGCTACAATAATATTCATTAACACAGCAACATCTTGCAAAGCACCAGGTCAGAGTCTGAATAGAATAAACTCATTTACAGCACAGTAATGCTGTGTTCTGCCCACACAGTATCAGCCCAGTTAAGGCCACATCTGGATGAGGTATTACATTGGAAATAGAAAGCATGTCCCACTTGACAGCTAACGGTTTTGTCCTGCATGACATGTCACCATGAATGAAAACCAACTCTGCATCTGGAAAACCTCATGACTTTCCAACAGAAAGACAAGCATGCTAGATGATTTTTAAGTCTTCCACGGATGTTCTATCGTTTCTCTGAGGTTGACCAAAAGGAGCAATAAGTGCTGCACCAGCTGTCTCGTTGTACAGGCGTAAACATGATAAAATACAACTGAAGCGATGCAGTGTAGCTAGGCAGAACTGTGAAAAGCAAAACAGCCTTTATGATACGCACTGCTTTGGTTGGTTTACATAATTTTCCTGGATTATAACCTACTTCTTAATGATTAGCACACTGTGAAAGCACACAGGACTGATCTGGAAACATCACTTGTCGTGTCTCTCAGCACTGAAAAGAAAAATTTGCACATCTAGGAAATTTAGGAAAAATGCACTGTGTTGCGAAAATAAGAGAAAAGGTCTGCATGACCAGACAGGTAACAGTGATTTGTGCTGAAAAAACAATTACACTAATGAAAAGGCACGATTATGACTCACACAGCCACAGCAGCTGTTTTACAGGTACAAATCTAATCAAGTCTGAGCACAATGAGGCTGAGTGATTTTAGAAAAATATGCCATTTCCAACTTTTCAGATATAGTGCACACATCATTAAATGTTATCTGGTCACTATTTCAAACAAGGAAAATGTACATAACCGATTTTTATTTATTTACTTTTTAAATCTGAACATTTAAATGTATTGAAAATAATCCGTTTTGGTCGAAAATAACCATTACATCCGAATGTGGGCCTTGAGGCAACATTTTGGCACTTATATTGGCACCATATAAATGAATCTGAACTGAAAGCCTTACACACAGTGTGCCTGCACAAATAAAAGTGAAATTCATAGACGGATGCAGAGTGGCTGCAGAATAACCAACTTAGAATAACATAGGATTGCTGGATAGCAATTGGCAGTAAAATAAACACTGGTGTTGCTGACTGTGCCGTATGAAAAGAGAAAGTCTAAATAAAGAGTAAAGTATAAAGGGGTCTGTGCTGTTGTTTGAATTTGTATTCTTCACACAGTATCAGGGAAGGGTCTCATTAAACAACCATGCACATACATCCAGAGTCTTGCAACAGGTATGTCTGCTGCCACCACCTAACCATGATGTCACCATCAGAGAGTTAATCTGGAATTAGAAAGAAGACAAAGACAGTCTAAACCCACAGAAGACCTGCGGTGCTGCTTCAAAGGAAAAAGGATAGATGCTGATCTTTTGGGGTCTTTTTTGTCTTTATATGATGTTTATATGATGTTTATATGATGTTTATTCATCACTCTTGAGCCACGGGGCGATCGTGGCTCAAGAGTTGGGAGTTCGCCTTGTAATCGGAAGGTTGCCGGTTCGAGCCCCGGCTTGGACAGTCTCGGTCGTTGTGTCCTTGGGCAAGACACTTCACCCGTTGCCTACTGGTGGTGGTCAGAGGGCCCGGTGGCGCCAGTGTCCGGCAGCCTCGCCTCTGTCAGTGCGCCCCAGGGTGGCTGTGGCTACAATGTAGCTTGCCATCACCAGTGTGTGAATGTGTGCGTGAATGGGTGGATGACTGGATATGTAAAGCGCTTTGGGGTCCTTAGGGACTAGTAAAGCGCTATATAAATACAGGCCATTTACCATTTACCATCAATAACAGCTACTTGCAGCAGCACTTTTGAACTACTTTTAATCCTGCCTTTGTTTTTTGTCTTTTTTGTGTAATACATTCTTGTATTGACCATGAAATCATCACTGTAATATGAACATGCAAAACAAAAAAGCACATCGCTATTAAATATGAACAAGCTTAAAATATGTTATTGTATTTTGCATTTTTCAGTGTTTGGGCTCTGTATAGGTCCTGTTATACTCGACTATGTTATCACAAGTGTCAGCTTTTCCGCATATTGTGCAGGCCAATACACAGGAGTGCCCAAACCTACTTTCTTTGTAAGACTTTAAAAGTTTGGTAGTGATCAAACATTTATTTTGCAAAATTAGAAATTTTTGGGCAGCACAGATGGAGGACATTTTTCTAAAAAGTGCACCCCTTTTGTCCTCAGACACAGCAATCCAAAAATTACTGTCCGTTTCAATTTTACTTAGTACACGCAACAAATAAAAAATGCCTCTCCTCCTCTGATATTGTGTGTCTTTTGGGCTAATGGTTCCTGAACATACGTTTGCACACAGGGATCTTTGTGTTTTGTTAAAATTGCACTTGACATGACATTTTCAATCTGTGACAGCTGAGATAGGCTCCCCCCCCCGTGACCTTGATGTGGATAACCAGAAGAATTCAAATGGATGAGGTTCTATAATGAAAGTCTTCTTTTTGCTTCACAATTTTTCTTTATATCTATATGCAGGTGATAAATTGCTTCTAATCTCCTCAGTATCACAAAGTAATCTGTTCTGGAGAATGAATGACAAGCTGCTTGAATAAAATAACAATTTTAACTCACGACCCCAGAGATGTCAATGTGCAATGTCCAGTTATCTTCTAAGTAAGTCTCTGATCTGGCTAATTCTGCTCTGAAGCATTCGACGCTTCCCTTTGCACACACTTGCCTTTATTCACTGCAGAGCCCAATGCTCTAACCAGTGATTGGACTAGAAAACTGACACTTTCTTTAAATGTCATGTGCTCATCCAGCCTTAAGACAACATATTTTTACTTCTAATCAGTATATGACAGCTCCATTGATCCAAGATTACAATGTACTCACTTCTCTCCAACTATTTATTTTTTAGAATCTAAAACATACTATTTGTTTTTTTAACTTCTATTTCCAGCACATTCCACAAAAATGTTCAGCATGAGCTGTCAGGTGCATCTAAGCCATTTGTTATGTCACACTCACATCCTGAGTAAGCACAATGTTGCTCATGTCAGCCCATGTTTTTTATAGATATGCCCATAAAAGTCTTTATAATAATATATATTTTACAAAGAAACACCTTAAAGTCAGATATGATAATAAAAACTATGTTAATGATGTTGGCTAATAGTGCTAACATTAGCTTTACAAGCTAAAAAGATGAACAACTTAAAAGCCATAAAAATCTGAAGGTTTGTTTGTTTTTAGGGCTTAAAACATTAAAATGAAGTGGGAATGAAGTCTAATCAACGACTTTACCAACCCCTTTCTAACTGGATCTGATCCAAACACCTTGATACAGTCGATGTATATTCATTGACTGTACTCAAGCCAGTAAAAATCAATTATGGGTTAAATAAATCAATAAATGATAAAAAAAGTAAATAAAATAATTTATGTTCCAGATATGGGGGTACAATGAGAAACAAACAAAAAAAAATAAAAATGCAAAAATCAGGTAAAAAAAAAAAAAGAAAGTTCACAAACTGTCCTTTGATTACAGTAAAAACATGAAAAACTAACATTTGTGGATAAACAAACATTTGTGGTTGCACAACAGCTGACAAGAAGAGACTACAGAGGGTCATCAGAACTGCAGAGAAGGTGATCGGCTGTCCACTCCCCTACCTGGACTTAATTGCCAGCTCAAGATGTCTCTCCAGAGCCAGGGCAATTATAAAGGACCACCTCCATCCTAACCACCACCTCTTCAACATCCTGCCCTCTGGAAAAAGGCTCAGATCCATCAGGTGCAAAACCAACAGACTAAAGAACAGCTTCTTCCCGTGGGCTGTCAGAACTCTTAATGCAAACTAAGAGTGTGTAAAGACTTCCCCAACGCATCCACCCTGACACTGCTGTTGATCATCTATGTGCAATATCTCAGTCTTTCCATGTTCTGTGCAATATTTTTGGCTCATGTGCAATTATTTTGGTCCCAGTCTGTTTCAATGTTTCCTACACATACACCACGTATATAGTTCCACTCACATATGTATACATATACACTGTTTTTTATTTTATTCTCTTTATTTAATTATTTATTTATTTTTCGCCTTCGTTGTATATTGGTTTCTCTTCTTCTTACTTTAGCACCTTTGTGGTTCAGCTACCCAATTTCGCTGTGCAAGAAACTGCACAATGACAATAAAAAGCTCTCTAAGTCTCTAAACAGGTGAAGTTCAGGTTGGACCTGTAAGCAAACTAACACTTGGGAGTTTTCAAGAGCTGCATATTAAATCATATAAAAGTTACATCATCGTGAAATAAAACATCAGGTTGTCATAGCTAGAGCAGTTACATGTCTAGTCAAGCATCATAGTCCCTCTTCAGTTAAATGAATTATTCTCATTTTAACATTTATTTTATACATGATGCAAAGTGCTGCATATTTCAATGGCATTTTAAACATGATTTGACTGATGACTTATTAAACACAGAACATGTGTTATAGTTTGGTTTTTTTTGGGTTTTTTTTTAGCTTTTTAAAAGCTCTTAAACTACACACAAACTATTTGTTTGGCCAGTATTTACAGTCATCCATTACAGTGTGCTCAGTTTAGAAACGTTTTTTTCTGTGGTTTAATCAACGAGTCACCAGGAAGATACCTGCTCACCACAAAGATAGAATCAAGTTGGTTGCAGCACCTTGTCACCATAAGAAAGGATAGCACAGCTACATGGCACAGCTTGGTTTATATAACCAGAATATCCAGGTTTCTTTATCACAGAGTAAAACCCCGCTACCACTTATTGCTTTTTTGTCATATTTAATCAAACTGTGTAGACTTTCACCTTTATTTTCACACTTTTTTGAATAACATTTATTAGAAAAAAGTAAAGGAAAAAAGTTAAATTGCGGTGGAAAAAAGATTTCAATTTATATTCTAAGATAAACTCTCAACACCACGGAAATGTCACAGTCTGAAATTAATAAACTGGATTATTGGATTCCCCCCCGTAATTTTTCCTGATAAAACAACCTCGTTTCCAGTTTTCATCACTAAACTATTCATTTCTGACCAAAGGCTTTGATTTGAACACAAATTAAAGCCAAAGAGACTGATGAGACTGGCATAGATATCCAATAAGACAAAACGCTGACATTATTTTTACTTTATCTCATTAGTTAGTCCATAACTTACATCTATTTTGTCTCTCATGGTGGCAAACAAGGAGTTAACAAGAAAGTGTGCACCTATAAATAAACACATGCAGCTGGTATTTTGAGAGGTGGGAACAGAAGGTCAGACTGACAGAGTTTGCAGGTGTAGAGAAAATCTGTATCTTTATATCATAGTTGAATCTTTTGATGTTTGTTAAATATTCTAATAAATTATTAAATTAAAACTTGGCTGTTTGGGATATGCTGTTGGTTTGTATTTTGGCTTTTTAGGGCTGCAAGTGAAAACCATTTAAACACAAAAGTAGAGCATAGAACAAAAAACAACAACAACAAAAATCTGTGCAATGAGCCTCAAGGTTGAAACATTTTAAAACCCACGGGTACATTGTCCATGTGACAAAACATTCAAACAGCAACAACAGTGTTTGTCGACACCTGAAGGCGGCTGTCGTGCGCTTACCTGAAACCGGGACAGATTTTGGGGACCTCACAGTCCCTCTCTTCTTCGAGCACCTCTGGACATTCCTGCCCTCCGTTGGATGGCATCTGGATGATAAGACGTTTCCTTGATTGCTTTTTCTTCACAGCAATACCAGCTGAAGGGACGCAGACAATTAATGAATTAAATTAAGAAATATGATGGAAAAGTGATGAGAAAAATGTCAAAATGATAAGCTGACTACTCTGTTAATAATCCTTGAAGAATGGACTTGGAGACTGCAACTGCCAATTCTAATTGGACAGCCAGCGTCAAAAGCGCACACTTGTGATTACTGGGGATATCAAGCCAACAACGATGATGCGGAAAAATCCCATTAGACCTTGGAACTGACTCAGATTAAATTTATGGTATTTACATGTGTGGCGATGCCCTCGAGTAGTTCATTAAGTTGAAACAAGCCTCTGGATAGCCCTATACTCTGCTTCAAACCTTTCTACGTGGGTGGTGTGTAATTCTCTGCACAAGGTTAAGATATCAACAGCATCAAATTAAAATGCACTACCACCAGTAAAGCATGCTTAGACCGAAGAGATTTATGCCACCGTGTCACAGGAGGAGGTCATCAAAATACGGATGATAATGATTTTCACTCGTAAATCAACTTAATGTTTTTGCCACCACTCAACAGCTTGGGCAATGGCCGCCTGACGAAGGTGACCTCATCTGAAAACGTCTTCCTTTCACCGCTTGAAAACAACAACACCGACCACTTGCTGGCCGGAGCAAGCAGACTTGCCAGGCCCACTAACGGAGGTCAGCCCAAATGTTGTCCTACATGCCAGTCTATCAAATTAATGATCTGTAACGAGGCATGAGAGCATGTGTTTATGTGACAGTCATTGTCTTCAGCTCAGTGTAGGCCAGTGGTTCTTAACCTGGGTTTGATCGAACCCTAGGGGTTCGGTGAGTTGGTCTCAGGGGTTCGGCAGAGCCTTCGCCATGACATGCATGGCTCATTTTGTGCACCAGTAAAAAAATCACATTTTATTTTTCACTAAAGAGGGGTTCAGTGAATGCGCATATGAAGCTGGTGGGGTTCGGTACCTCCAACAAGGTTAAGAACCACTGGTGTAGGCCAACCCAACTCTAGAGTTGTTGCACTTAGTCAATTAAAATTAGCTTCTGTGTTTTCCATTTTGTTATCTTTTATTATTATGTTATTACCAGCATATTATTGTCACCTCTGTCAACTATGATTGGAAATATTGTGACTATCCTGAAACCACCAAGGCCTGACTGACTGAATAAAGTACTTTTTACAACATAGAGGAGTTTGGCACAACTTCACCCAATTCCAAGAAAGTCTAAAGAGGCCCAGCAACATTTTCAGTATAAAGAACAATTTAATGATTTGACCAGTTTATTTCGGCTTGCAGCCTTTATCAGGGCAAAACATGTTACAGGCCACATTTTAAAAAGCAAAAAAATTAAACAACCAATCACATATGTTCAATGTGCTCATCCACCAACCAGACACCAGCAAGGAGGCTAGGCCATGTGGTCATGTGGTATAAAGCCAGTCTTGGAGAGTGTCCACTATAAAAAATAAAACCTGGTACACACCCTGTTTAGCATTTAAACAGGACAAATCTAAATGAAGGGCAGTGTTTTAAGTTTTCCCCATCAATGTCATATACAACCAGTACAAGTGACACAAAAACAAAAAATAGAATGAAGAAAAGTAACATGTATGTAGATGCTTATTATTTAAAAGTACAAGCTAAGAAAATAAAAAATAAGAGATAAAAACATGAGAATGAAATTAAAGATGCATGATGAAAATACAATACCATAAATAAGCTGGTTTAATGGGAAAGTTGTCGGAGAGGACTTTACTTATTTAGACTTTATGTTCTTCTGTGTGTGCAAAGAAGCAGGGGAAGTTGTGCTGGAAACTTTGTTTCTTCAATACTCTTGAACTTTTTAACAGCAGCAACAACAGTTATCTATGAGCATGAATCGTTGTTTTTTCCTTCATACCTGCATCACATGTAATTGGACACGTTGCCCAGTCACTGAATGGGGTCATGATACAGTCCTTCTTGCAGGGCAGCTGGCATGGTCTCATTGTGCTTGGGCGAGGACCGTCTGGACACCTAAGCAAAAACAAAATCTCTTTATACATTCATCAAAACACAAGAGCATGAAGTCTAAACCTAAAAAGATTTACTCCTAAGAAAATAGTAATTTTGATAAAGCCAATGTATCTGACTAAATCTTTAATCTGTGGGTGCTGAGCAAGAACACTTCTTATGGGCTCTTTCTCTGCACTGGTTGTGTTACGTTGCCACAGCTCTGTACCAAACGGGCAGAGAAGCAGATGTCCATGTGGACCCTCACGCTCACCATTCAATGAAATTTATATCACTAAAACCTAAGCACACTCACAGACACAAAGAGTATAATCAAGGACAGAATTTTTTTTATCATTTTAAACCATTGTTTTTCATTATTATCAAAAATCACAACATTTTATAGCAGAGGAATCCTTTAAATTCACTTAATGTGAATCCCTGTGAATAAAAGAAAAGAATTCATTTGCAGTAAGCATAGCAGAGCAGTGGTTCTCAAAGAAGGGTCTGGAAGCTTCTGGGAGACAACAGCCACAAGGTCCATAAAAATCATTTAGCTATAAATTATAAAATTGTACTCTATTATTTAAAAAGGGTCACAAAGAATAAAGGAAGCACTCTTCAGTGAGGCAAATTTTAGTGTTCAAAAAGCTAAATCCAGGAAATATTGCTAAATGTCTCAAGTGTCAGCATAACCCAAGACAAACAACTAAGGCACTCTGTCTTCAAGTGGAATTGTATTTTTAGTTTGCTCTTTGATCATAGTAGAGAAAAAACACAAGACAGATGACAGGTGCAAATCTACAGATGGGAGCAATTTATACCAAAACAAGCATACTGTGTCCTTTACTCCCACCCACGTTATCTTTGAGCCAACAGAAACTCTGCTTACACAAATCACATTAATGTGTCTCATTGTATTTAGAATGAAAAACTTCAGAATATCAATAGTTTCTGTGGTATCTTGCATTAAAAATTGTATCAGAAATAATATTTATAATTTTGAGAGATCTCTGGAAAATTGGATCCCCTGCAAAAAGTCATTGGCTACAGATAATTGAGTATGCCTACTGTAGACATAAAGAGAACCGCAGGATGAAGATAAAACAATATACGAATGTTGATGAAGTCATCACACGATGGTCCCATAAAAATAAAAAAAAGAATATTTCATTAGCACTGATATAAACATCATACTTTTGTCCAGTGTTTCATTTCACTTTCTAATAAGGTTTCTTTTCAAAATAAAAGATCTTTAAAATATATTTTTATTGACTGCGTGCGTGATCACTGCTGCAAAACATGATGGTTTATTTAAGATATCAGAACTTGTAATGAGGGAAAAATTGAACTGAGTAACATTTAGATCTTCATGGCTCTTTTAATCTTTTGGCGAAGCATTTTACAGATATCAAAGGAGTTGCCAAACATGTGTTTTTGTGATTTCTGGAATTGAATTTAACATATTTGCAGCCCTATAACCAAAAAAATATAGTGTGTAGATTTAGCTGTATTTTTCCCCCCAACTTAAACCCACCCCCTATAGATTTTGGCATTTGTACCTAAAAAGACCAAGCTGACACTTAACCATGACAGTTAAAAATATAAACCATGCACTCACGCTTTAATAAATATCAACTGAGAGGCTTGATGCAGCAACCATCTGGGTAGTGCTTGAATACACAATGTAATTATTCTCGCCTCAATCTAGGGCAATAAAAACCTCTGTAATTACTTTCACTTTATGACTGATGTATGCCATCTGGATGACACATAGGAAAGGGATGGTTGTGTAACCCACCAGAGCATTGTTAGCATCACAGGAAATGTCTAAAAGCACTGTGTTTGTTTTACAGTAATATATCTCTGTGAGGAAACTTTAACTCACTGAGCTAAAGTCAGCCAACAGGCCTGAGGATAAAATTTCCAGTTTAAATGGATTCAGCTATCAGTGAGTAATAATCCTCGTGGTCAAGCCGAGGTTTTTCAAAACAGAGGTTATGTTTAATCTTCAGGTCCCCTGTGCATAAACGAGACAAAGATAAATAGGTCACGACAAACCTGCTGGAAGACATCTTATCTGATCCCTCGCTGCTCTTGCAGTTGGACGTTACGACTATGTTTCCTCATCCCACTGCTGACTTCTGATCATCTGGGTCAGGTTTAACGCTCTTTTGAATTAGTGTTCTCCACTGGGTGTTTCATACTCGTTAGCATGGTGTTATCAGAGAAATGATAGGGAGCCTCCCTGGCAAAATGTAATATTGCAACAGCAACACAAGGAGAGATTTATTTTTAATACCAATAGACAGAGCTAAATCCCTCCTGAGCGGAACAAATCCTCGGTTGTCTTCATAAAAGTGAATGGTCCCCAGGAAAAAAACAGCTGTGGGGAGGATACATTTATGTCTTCTGCTTTTAACTGATGGCTGGGTCCATAAAGAAGGGAATAAACAGGTGTCTCTCTTGAGAACACTTCAACACGATGGGAAGCTGTTAAGAACTAGTGAACCTGCTACCGCAAAACAATCTCCACACTCGACCCCAGCATGGAAAAGGGTTTTTATCATTTTCTCAAGAGCCTGTAGGGATCAACACGTTCTCCATCAAGGGAGACCTGGCACAGAGAAGACAGACAGCATAAAGATATCTTCAAGATCTAAATAAAATCAAAGTGTATATAGAAACCAACACCAGCTTAATAACCAAGTACTAGATCTCAAACATGTACCAACCCAAATTAATCAATAAAATAAGTACTTCTTATTTGGTTAGGAGGAACTCACCAAAATAAAGTGCTGATTATGACACCATTAAACAAGTACTTAATGTGAAGGTGTGGAAACATTTCTCAAAAAGAAACAGGATGAGGAGCTGGGAAGGAAGAGGGCTGCAAAGAGGTGCTATGGAAGTTGCACCAACATCCTCCTTGCAGTTGATTTGGCAGCTAGCACTTTGTTGTGGATGGTCATAGTTTGCATGAAAGATGCTGACTTGTCTGCAAACACTGTTCAAAAGGTGCAACTTTTACTCTAGAATTACTCTAGAAACAGTCCCCATTTCTGGTTTGTGTTGTACTTTTTACAGTTTCTGTACTGCATGGTGAGTACAGACAGATAAGTGGATGTCTTCCATTCAAAGTGTGAGAAGCTGTGGCAAGTTTTTGCTAATTACCAAAGCAATTTCAAGGAGGTAGCCCAAAAACTTCCTGCAACCATTTCCCAACTAACTGCTAGGGAAACATTATTCCTTACCAGAGGTAGAGGGTCGTTATTTGGGCTTGTGTGACTGCAGTCTTAAGTAGCAATCCTCATTATGAAATTTGCCAATAGAAAGGTTATGGAACTGATCAGTTGATCAGCTATTGGTTAGCTTGACTTTTGTGGCCTTCCTGAATTCAAGCTATGTTCAAACTAGACGCAATTTGGAGAAACATAGTGACCAGAGACCATAGAACAGCAATGATATTTTATGAGTTCAAGCGACTATGGGAAAAATAACCACTGACAATGGGAAGGGGGCGGGGGGGAGCAAGAAAATATTTTTCTCAATTTCCAGGCGAGTGGCTAAAGTGATTACCAATTAGAGAGAAGAATACTGTTGATTGATATGTGACCTGGGAGTAACTACATTACAGGGTCACCTAGGCAACTGGGGCCAGGGATGTTTGCAAGCAACCACCCGTCTTTTTCTAAGCAATGGATGATGAGTGTACCACTTCCAGTGTGTATGCAGCTCAACAGTATGCATGAATCATTGGACTTCTTCTGTTTACTTATTGATTCCTTGAATATGTGTCAAAGACAACCCTTTCTCTTTCTCATTTGGGATTTCTTTAATACTGTGACACAAACGAGTCTTAAACAGACGAGATTAAACCTCTGACCTTGTTAAATTCTTCTCATACTCAAAAATGGTAAAAGTCAGAGCATGAATTATAGTTTAACCCTTTTGGGATTGTGAAATCTGAAAAAGCCATGATAGTTCTGTTTAGGTTAAATACTACAACTTAAATACAACTTCAGTTTTGCCTTCGATCGAGGAGAAACACACTGTGAATACTAAGAGAGACCTTAGAGGACGAAACAACTCCTTTCTGAATTGCAGACTGCTTGCCTTTTCGATTTCACCTTTTCAGTGTTCCCTTTGGGTCTGAACACACAAACAAGCGAGCGTATGTTCTGGTGAAGGCGGCCTTTACCGGAACAACAATCTTGATTGGTGTTTCAAATGCCTCAAACAACTCGTGTTTACATTTTCCTGTAAGAATGAACTATGGCTGTTGTTTCTCAGAAGCAGGTGGAGTCTGTGATTAAAAAAACGTGCGTTCACATCACATTTTGAGTCAACACTGAAGGCTTTTTCCAACCAAAACTATGATCTTTTCTAAACTATAACAAAGATGCTCTGCTTCCCCCAGCAAACAAAACCTAAACAAGCAATCACTGCTTCTTGTCAAAACTTGGACAGCACTGCAAATACAACACTCGCATAGAGTACCAGCTCAATTTATAGGACAAATCAGTAAATGTTACTTTAATCGTGTAAAGGCGTATATATGAATATTGTGGGACACATTTTTAGACCATTAGGTGGCTACAAAAGGCACATTGGAACATATAGGACGGACTTTTATCCTGCAGTTACACTTAACCTTTACAATAGTACCCAACTCCAGGTTGAAGTTAGTTCAGGAGATTTAGGCTCTAACTGTAGTTACTTACAAGGTATTACACAATCTTGTCTTCTTAAGTCTTAATCTTAAGGTAAGGTAGGTCCACTCGGCATTGCATTTGCATAAATAAGGATTCATCCTTAAGATAGAGAGAGGATGTGTATATAAATGAATTCAGGGAATGGGATTTAAGTTTGAATTTGGTTCATCTGGTTCTGCCAGATGTTTCCTTCTATTGAAAGCAAGTTTTTTCACCTAACGCTTGCTCCTAGTGGACTGTGTGATTGTTGTGGTTTTCTCTCTAATATTGTAGATTCCTTGACTCTCTAGTTTACATTACATGCATTTT